TCTTATGATCCACCGGTTTGAGATAACATAGTACTAGACTGGCAGAAGAAGTGGCAAAATTCGTGCCTGGATTATAAATTTATAAGGGGTGGGAGGAACACAGGAAACTTTTTCTCAGATTGCTTGAGATGGGTTTTCCTGACCTTGAACAAAGGTTTTTTTCGGCAAGTTCAAGGTCACTGGCAGATTTTTTTTTTTCCACATGCTATAACTTTGTTATATAAAATCACTGGAAGCTTTTACTTGATACAGAGATTGCTTATGATCCAAGAATGTGTTTTGACCTTGATCCAAGGTCTTTCTGGCAAGTTCAAGGTCACTGACAGAAAAGTGCAATATTCTTTTTCAGGTATATCTTTGTCATTGGGTATCACTGGAAGCTCATAATTTGTTCAAAGGTTGTTTTTGACCTTAACATAGGTCATTAAGGCAAGTTCAAGGTCACTGATATAATAAGTGTAAAATTCAAAAAGGACTAGTCGCCCAAGTGGCGCAGTGGTAAGAGTGTCTGCTCTAGAGTCGTGGATTATGGAGTTGATCCTTACGTCGCAGGTTCGAATCCCACTGTGGGACGCAGAGACTGATCCTTCGGATGAGACCATACAAACTGAGGTCCCGTCTGGCAGTAGGTGCTGGCACGAAAAAGATCCCTCACTGCTAAATGGCCATGTGTGCCGAGTATAGGTCAAAATTTGCAGATCTCCATCGGCAAATGGTGGCGTCTCCATATGATTGAAAAATTCTCGAAAGGAACGTTAAACAACATACAAACAAATAAACAAAAAGGTCTATACTTTTGTAATAGAAAAAATTGCATGCATTTGCATTTCACTGAAAAGATGATAAATATATCATCCAGAGTGTGTAATGGCCTTGACTTAAATTCGAGGTCACTTAGAATATGATGTTTTGGATGAATAGTCTGAAAGAATACGTGACTGTGATTTTTTTTTATGTCGGTGACATAAAGATGGTGTTTGCTCTTAACAAGCTGCAGAATGTGTCATGGCTTGACGCAAAGTTATTTGGACAAGTTCAAGTTCACTGACAGGGGAATTTTACATTCCTTTACTGTCTTTCTACTGTTGAAACATTTAAAGTTGATGCCCCTTACAGGATTGTTTATAACCTTAAAATGTTGCATGAACTTGACTCAAGGTCGCTCTGTCCTGTCCGGAGCTCCGACGGAAGACCTATCCGTTGCATTGCAACGAGCTCGGCTCTAGTTTAACCTCATATTGTTTCGGTATATAAACAATTATTGCATGAATATTTTGGAGATATGAAGAATTCTATTCGCTCAAGAGGGCAAAATAGGGGATCAATATGATTTTTATTAGATGAATAGATCTTCTCTGTTTATCATGCAATGAATATATACCATTCAATGACGTTTAGCACAAAACTCTACAATAACATTTTACATTTAATTTGATTATTTTGAAAGGGGAGGGATGTTTCTCTTGGACACATGCATAACACATTCGAGGTTAATTTTCGCTTCACCGAGATAGTCCGGACAAGGAATAATTAATGTAAGCAGCTAGTAACAACCGTTATAGCTATTCACTTTCGTCCCCTGAAGTCGCCGAAAAATGGTAAAATATTGCCGACTCAGCGAAATTAAATGATCAACAGTTATTTTCTCTCACAAGCTATGTTGCTGAGAACATCATTGTCTTTGCTAAAACGTTGGAGGCATGTTGAATCCAAAGGAAATTTTAATAATTTTTTTTTTTTTAAAATAAGAAAGAATATGTCGCCTTTTATAACTTCTGGGAATTAGCTTTAATTGTCATTCTCTGTTTATAAAACATATGTACAGGTACAAGATATATGTAAGGAATGCTATTCAACGACAAAAAAATCAACTGATGAAAATAGATTCATAACCCCCCCCCCCCCCCCCCCTCCGAAAAAATATACGCGTTATATTAGTTTTTGCCGTAATTTGAAACATTTTAACCATTAAATAGTTAATACATTTTGTAATGAATTATTTTTATGCACAAGATGAATGTTAAAGCAATTAATGACGCATAAATAAATACGATAGAAAACCCTCTGTTTAAATGTCAAATTATTTTGTGTGTGAAATGTGTTTCCGTATAAATTGAATTATTTACAAAATGTTCATGTTTGTCGTATTGATGTGGAAATATTATAAATTCCAGACTTCTGATATTTAATAGTTCTGTTGTGTTGGGTATGAACATGAAGAAGATGCAAATACATTATATAAAATATAAAAGCAGAACGAACGTTTGTTTGGGTGCAGATCATGAAATGTACTAAGCTCCACGGGTATTTGTTGTCCTATGCGCATTAATTCAGACTTCCAAATTGTTATATTTGGCTAGTGATACCTTTAGATAGCATTTGTCTCTAGGTGAAAGTTGACTCGGCAAAATGCGCCATCCCATTGTTTAAGTTTTATAAGGTGATTACATCACCTATACCCGATTTCGCGGATACAACGATACCCCGATTTCGGGGACTATACGCGATTTCACGGATAATACCCGATTTCGAGTATTCTCTCCAACCTGTTTAATTCGGTTTGCAATTATCGAAAATCAACTCCGGTTGGAGAAGGCGAAAGAGCTAGGTTCACCTACTCCATAAAATGGACCTGTCGATATACTAATTAACTGACCAAGTCCCAATGTCCCGTTTCGAGCATCAATATAAAGTGGAGACCCAGTGCTTTCATTTCGTATAAAAAAAAGTTTCCTCTCGGAATCCAGGTATTGAAAAAGTGGCTTTGTGAAACTGTAATGTTCTTGAATTTTGACGAAAATGGGTGTATTTGAGCACCTTCAGCAAAGGATTAAAATACGAGCCCACCCTCCGACCCAAAAAATTAATTATGGATTATAATCTTCTGAAACAGTACTTTCATAATATAATTCAACATTTTAGATCAGAGATTGGGGTCTATGCAAAACATTGAAAAACAACTTAAATTTTTGGCCATATTTGAAGATTTTTTCAGGATTTGGGGATAATGACGCAATTCATGACGTCATTAAGCATGAACTAGCGAGAAAATTACGTCAGTTTTAATAGTTATGCAGTTAGCAAGGATCAAAGTAAAATTTAATGTATTTTCAACTAAAACTGAGCATTTTTTTCAGAAATTCACAGTGCCAAAAAAGGTCCTAAGTGAACCTTGTTCTTTCCAGTTTTCTTAATGGTGCCGGTTCTGACGTCTTCCTGGCACGTAAAATATCAAAATTGTGAAAAAAAAAAAGCCTAGAAAAATTCAGATATTCGGACTATATACCGGTACGTTTTGAATGGAGAGAGAGAAGTTTGAATAAAACAGAGATAAGGAAACTGCCAGAAACGCCTGAAATTAGGAATATACTGACATAATCTCACTAGCTTGACGACAATGCCCATCCTCATGTCTTACTGTGTATCGTATTGTATTACTCTGAATTTCCTTTTTTAACAACAACAGATTTGTATGTTTTAATACAGTTTATTAACTACCTCATTTTACAATGTATACAAAGAATTATGAAAATATTTCATAACATTAGTATAAATATATAAATAAAAGATAGATCCTGACGATAAAGGCTAAGGTATAATCAAACAGAACAATTATTTTAAGTAAACAGGCACCAATTACTCACAGAGTAGGAAATTCAGTAAAAATGGCTCGATTCTCCACATGGAGAGACAAGAATTAAGTTATTCACTTGGTCTTACAATAGAGAAAATATGCACATGAATGAAAATCTTTTCTAGTATGTAAAAACTGTTCACATAAAGGACTTCCTTGTTACTTGAAACATGAAATTACGTATACAGGTCAGGTGTGGAGATTTTATGAAGAAAATTTTCATGACATCAACAATCAGGATATGCTATACGTCTAAGAAAAATACCCTATAAATTAGAGGGGAAAATGTTCTGAAATGAAGCATAATGCATAAAATCAATGCCAAATAGAAATAAACAATAAAAAATAGATGTATATTACTGGTCCTGTTCTTGTGTAACACACTATTTGAGTAAACCAAAAAGCCAGACAAAACATCACAATTGTAACATGCACGTGTAAAGTTTTAATTGGTAGAAGTTTTCTAAAACTAAATAAAATAATCAAAGCAAATAAAGTATATTAGAGCAAAGTCTGAATAAATACATGTATTTTAACAAAATGCAAAAAAGTAAAAAAAAAAAAAAATAATTTACTAACAATAAATCACTCTGTACATTTTCAAACAATAATTTCTGATTTTTTTTTCAAATTTAGAACTGCATATTTCAGTGAATCAAGTTTCACACTCAATAGTAACAATCATTGTTGAGCAAAATTTATACAAAATGTATTAACATTTCATACATGTATTAACTAATGCACTGCTGAAATATATGTCTGTCACAACAATTTACAGAGAGTAAAGTACTTGATGATTATTCATAATGCAGATTGTCTTTATACTCAAGGCTTTGAAGGCAGTTTGTAGAAAATAAATTCTTGAGGTTTGCATATTCAAGGGTCACTTGACATCGTCAATTTGTAAAATACAGAGAGAGAGAGAGAAAGACCTTAATATCTGAGGTATTTATAACCAGCTGATTGCCACAGGGGCTGTATATTTCAGAAATACATGTGGATGAAATGATAGAGAAGTTACAACAAATTAAAAAAAAAAATCTTTAAAAAAAAAATATATATTATTGTGTCATGATAAGGGAGATATTCTTGCCCTTGGGATTCGATGTTTTGCCATAAAAATACGGCAATATAAATAATTCTCTTGTAAATCAACAACCATCTTATTCACAGTTTGTTTTTGTGGGGGTACGAGAAATAAACCTTTAGTTACATCACTAATGTAGAACAGAATATTATTAATCCTGTGTTACACAAATAAACACCTACTCACAATAATGCTTAGAGCATTAAAATCTACATTGCTTTGTATAACACTAACAACTCTCCAGATACAAATGAAAAATATTACGTTTATTTAGAATACATAGTGAAATAAGAAAACCTATTTCAAATATGCTGTTATCACAATAAATACAAAACAATGATTACACTTTAATAACAACTGCATGTACATAGGACAATTATATTCTACTTACCTTAATATAGAATGTATGAGCAAAAAAAAAGATAATTAATTAAAGTCAAAAAATAGCATCTGGTTACATTAATACTTTTACCCTTTAATATTCTATTTACACGAATAACTGTTTCAGAATATCAAATATTGCATTGATTTCACTCCTCCCTAAAAACATGAATCTGATTCTCACAGCAAGAGTTCCACTGTGTAATTATAATCACTTGCCTGGCTTTACTGAGAGAAGGGATGCAACTCTGGGTTTAGTCTTGACAGAGTTATATTTCCTTTAGATAGGATACTAATGAGTGGTAAATATCAAACTTAGCTATAGAGCCATAATAATAACACATTAATGTACAACAATAACAAAACAATAAAGAGATTTGGAGATGCCCCCTTTTGAGCTCCTTTGTAAGTTTTTTCCCTTTGAGATGGTCCCCCTCTCAGTCTCTGTCCTGGAAGTCCTCCTCGTTGAAGTCTGTGACCCCCGAGTGCTCCAGGAGAACTCTGAGCATGCCCTCCAGTCGGGCGCTCTGTTCACGGATATTTTTAACTCCACCCTTCAGCTTACTCATGTCTTTCTGTAACTTTTCTTGGGTCTCCATGACCTTCTCTATCTCATCCTAAACAAAGGTCAAGGTCACAGGATTAGACAAAAACTCTAATAATGGCAAAGGTTTTAAGACACCAGAAATGCATATAATTCAAATTTAACATATGGTTGTAAATAGAATCTCAGAAAATCTTTACAGCAAAGAAATGCAACTGTAGCTTTCTCATCTGTTTAATCAGAGTTTTAACTGCTACGGAGTTTTGATATATGTACAAGGCCAACACTTGTGTTGTTAGCTTTGGAACCTCCAATTGTCAGAAGTATAATCTCCAAGCCTAAACTCTTCTTTCTACTTTACTCCAATTTGTACATTAAGAAATTTTGCCTAGATAAAAGAGATTAACAGAATACTATACTGACCAGATCTGGGTCCAGGGCTTTAGAGATCGCCTGTGAGGACAGATCCCCTGCCTCGGCTCGAGCCAGAAGCTTCAGGGGGTTCAAAGTCTTCCTGTTTGGTCGGTAAGTGTCACACTTTGCCACGAACCGTCGCCTTATAAATTCTGGTACCACCCTCTCTACATCCAAGGCTAAATCAACCTGGAAAACAAACCTGAAGTCTTAACAAACATGGAAATTATTTAACATTACTTATTAATTACATTTTCCAAAACTTTTATTTCTGAACTTTATTTCTCTTTTTTTTCATGTTTTGGTTGACTTACCTGCATAGCCATCCTCTTAAGGGCCGCCTGTTCCTGTACGGCTTTAATGTCGTCTACAGCCAAACCAACCTGGGATGAAAGAAAAGTTATATATAGCAAATACCTTTAATCCCTGTCCAGTTAGAAAGCTAATATAGAGACAAACCTGAATTCTACAATACTTTCATGTACAATTTTTTTTTAAAAAAATTTCAAGAACCTTATTTTTAACTTTGAAAGTGAACAACATGCAGAATGGAACCAAAACAGACATGACACAGAAATACTTTAATGAAATGACAAATAACATAAGAATATAACCAATGAAATGAAACATGATGCAAGAATTGAACCAATGAAAAGATGGCATCATAGAAAAATGAACCAATGAAAAGACGCATGACTTAAGAATGAACCAATGAAAAGACACGTACCAGTAAGTTCATGATTATGATGGACATGAGGATCATGAACACGACAAACATGATGTATGTAATCTCTGGGTAGTAGTCCAGCTGTGTCCCGTAGAAGATATTCTCATACTCATACTCTCCTATCATCATCACAGTAGTCTTAATCAGAGACTCCCAGACCGTCGCAAAAGCATCCTAAAAATAGAAAAGTTACAGCTATTTTGTCGATTCAAATTTTATTTAATTTATTCCACTGTAAGAGAAAATTCAAAATCAGTGAATAGAGTGATCTGAGCCTATTTGATGTGCCTGCAGTCAAAAAATTGTCTTTTTTTTTACAGAATCAGAATTTACTTATCTGGCAGTGCTAAGAATATATAATTATGTAACAGAATCTGAGTTATATAACCTGGCTTTGTACGATAATTAGAGTTCTAAATACACCTGGCTCTATAAGAGAAATAATCTGGCATTTGCAACAAAACTGCAATTATCTAACCTGGCTTTTTATAACAATGGCAGTTATCTAACTGGCTTTTTAAGAGAAACATACTTATTTAAGCTGGCTTCGTAAAAGGATTACAGTTATGAAATATGTGGAGATAACGAACAGTATTCAAGCTCAAAAGTCCATTAAACAATACAAAATAGGAGCAGAGCAAACACAGACCTCTAAAACATCAGAGGTGGGATCATCTACCTGACTTTGTAAGACAATCAGAGTTATCTAACCTGGCTTTGCAGTAGACAGTAGAATCCCAAACCAAAGGCCACGATAAACAGAAAGAAGACAATGGCGAACTGCATGAAGGTGTTAAGGATGTCCTTAAACATGACAACGTAGATTCCAAATCGGGGGAACTTCTGGAGGAAAAGAACCAGATTAATCCAACAGAGGAAGATCGCCACGGCCCCCACCGACCACTGCCAGGTCTGTAAATAATGAAGATGTGTACTGTGTATATATACATACATTTACATACATGGTGACCCACATATAATAGACCACTGCCAAAATATATATAAATTTTTTTTAATGGTTTCTATTTCATAGATACTGTCTGACATATATTTCAGCATATGACTACCGGTATTTCCTTGCAATACCTACAAAATATACACTTACAAATCTGAATCCTGTGGACTTCTGACAACTCTCAAAGTCAATAACGAGGAGTAAGGCACACACATAGGTCACCCACTCTATCAGGTTCTCAAAGCCCAGGTACTGGAGCTTGGCCTGGTAGATTTGTAACAGCTGAAATCAACATAAAATATTTAAAGTCATACTGTATGCTAGGTAGCAATTTCTATTCTAATGTCTTGGTTCGTTAGGATTCTGCATGGACTGTCACTTTTTTTCCATCAGTTTTTATGTCTTGAGAGAATTTGTAACCTTCTGTAATAATCAACTGTCTCTTTATAATTTTTGTTTTTAACTGTATTTCCTTGAGAAAAAAAATTTTCCCTAAAATCTTCAATTATTCTCATCATAAATTTCAGGGTACCTGTTGCAATCTCTTTATTTGCTGTTTTGTTTTCCAATCCAGGTACCATTTAAAATCATTCAAATCTATGTATATTTTATTTATAAATACTCAAACCAAATAAAACTACATGTATTTTTCCTAATTAAATATTGGACTCTGATGTCAAATCACCCACCTCTCTGAGCAAATTCCAGGCAGCCAAACCCATGATGACATATTTTCCAATTGTAGCAAAAAGTGGTTGGTCAAACATATCTTTGCTGGGGTCATGGAGAGTTAGAGCTTTTTCACATGCAGTCTTTTCTGGAGTACTTGATGTTATGCTTGAGTCATTTTTCTTTAATTCTTCATATCTGGAAAATAGATACAAAAGATAAGGTGACTAAAAATAAAGACATATGGGGTACATAATTGGTCTCCGATCAATTCTAGTGGCAACTTTTTTTACAGTGTCTACAGTAAAAGCCACCTTTATGGCACACACAAACCATTACAGACAATCTAAGGCCTATACAAAAGTTTCATATTTTTTCAAACACACTCTGATCAAATCCAAATTTCCAGACAGATTGTAATCTCTCTGTTAAATATGAACTTATCAGGTTTCTCTGTTACTATCTTAAGGCCCAAAAAGGTTTTTTCTCTATTAGTGATCTTTCTTTTCCAAATGACCAAAGAGAGTTCAATGAAGTGGAATAATTGAGGAAATATGCAATTGAACGAATACCTTTGAAGAATTAAAAGGTAAAAGAATGTAAATAAAATCTTAATACCGTGTAAGTGGAAATTTTAGAAAGACGCCAATTTAGCAATTTATCTTTAGATAATGGTAAATATTTTAAAAGAATCAATTTTAGCAATTTTAAAGTGCCTACTAAAGAAGCTGTTACAAATGAAACGCAATTTATTTTTAGCGATATTTAATTTTAGCAATCTCAACACCCTCGCTAATAATGCCAAAATTAAATCCTCGCTAAAAAATTCTGCTTATACAGTAATTTTTTTTAATTTTTAATTCATTTGGCTGTAACTGCTACAGAGTGAACAATTAGATTTTTGTGAAAAAGTTAACAAAATTATTAAGTATATATTTTTGCCCATAATTTTAAACCTACACTTCAAATGGAGGGTCAGTCTGCACGACATAGCCCGTGAGAAAGACCAGAAAGATGGCGTAGATAAGAAAGTTGATGTAGTAGAATGTCCGCCCAAAGCTGTTCCACTTGTGACGAAGTAAAGCATTCACCAATGGATGAGCCAAGAGGTCTTCTCGCTTTGAGTTCACCTACAGCAACACAAAGATATTTAAATGTAACAGTACTCAATAAACTTTAGTCAAAATCTTGAGGTTTTTTTTAATTTGCCGATCAGATGAACTTATATTATTTGCAGTTTTCAGAAAGTGGAATAGAAATATGAACTTAATAAGTGGCAATAGCAAAGGCTAGAAATACAGTTGAACGCGGTTATCTTGACACCGATATCTGGAATATCATGGTTATCTGATTTTGAAGATTTTTTCTCGGTCCCATTGAGTTCAAGATAACGAGGTTTGACTCTTAGTATTTGATTTTTCACTGGTAAGTAAAGCCACTGTAACTCAAATTTCTTTGACCAAATCAATGAAGCCATGTATTTATGAATCAATTCTTCAATAATTTCATAATTTACATTCCAGTAAATTTCACATTATTCTATTGACCTACAATTATTCTGAATTACTAGTCATGTTGACCTACCATTATTATGAGTGGATGGTTGTTCTTTAATTCACTGGAGTCGGATGTGTAGGGTCGGGCAGACACGTTCAGAGTGAAGTCCTCGTTATACACACTCCCTGTACAAAATATTACAGATTCAGTTAAAAGCATCTCTAACTCCTTGTACACTAAGGAAAGCATTAATGTCTAAAAGCTGTTCAAAAAGTCTTTCTGAACATAATAAACACAGATGAAGTATCATCATATCACCCCTTGGACAGTGTCGAGATTTTATACATTTACTACAAGAAAGGATGACATCAAATATACATCAAACATACAACAGGAAGACTGTCACAACATATAAAATTGAGCATTCTTTAGAATAAGTCACTCTTAAAAGTTATCAACTTAAAACAAGAGGCCCATGGGCCACATCGCTCACCTGAGTAACTTTGGCCATGCTGTTCATTACAGACTTCCCCCTTGTAATACCTATTGTGGCCCCGCCCTACCCCCGGGGGCCATGATTTGAACAATTTAGAATCTACACTCCCCCAGGATGCTTCCACATAAGTTTCAGTTTTTCTGGTCCAGTGGTTCTTGAGAAGATTTTTCCTATATATTTCAAAGTTTCCCTATTGTGGCCCGCCCTACCCCCGGGGTCATGATTTGAACAATTTAGAATCTACACTACCCCAGGATGCTTCCACATAAGTTTCAGCTTTTCTGGCTCAGTGGTTCTTGAGAAGAAGATTTTTAAAGATTTTTCCTATATATTTCAATGTAAAACTTGGATTCCCTATTGTGGCCCCGCCCTACCCCCGGGGGTCATGATTTTAACAATTTAGAATCTACACTATCCCAGGATGCTTCCACATAAGTTTCAGCTTTTCTGGCTCAGTGGTTCTTGAGAAGAAGATTTTTAAAGATTTTTCCTATATATTTCAATGTAAAACTTGGATTCCCTATTGTGGCCCCGCCCTACCCCCGGGGGTCATGATTTTAACAATTTAGAATCTACACTATCCCAGGATGCTTCCATATAAGTTTCAGCTTTTCTGGCCCAGTGGTTCTTGAGAAGAAGATTTTTTAATGACCCCACCCTATTTTTGTCTTTTCTTGATTATCTCCCCTTGTAAGGGGACTTGGCCCTTTATTTTAACAATTTTAACTCCCCTTCACCCAAGGATACTTTGTACCAAGTTTGGTTAAAATTGGCCCAGTGGTTCTTGAGAAGAAGTTGAAAATGTGAAAAGTTTACAGACGGACGGACGGACAGACGGACGACGGACAATGGGTGATCAGAAAAGCTCACTTGAGCTTTTAGCTCAGGTGAGCTAAAAAGTTTTTTAAACCAGAGAAATGTTTATGCCCATAGTAGAAAGGAATAAATCTAAAAAGAAATGTTTTTGGTAGTTACATTCTTTTTTTAATATTTCTTTGAATTTGCTATTTTTGACCAAAACCCTAGTTTTCTTTAACATAACTAAACTCTACAAAACTTCATCTTTTTTATATTAACAAATTGCCTTCTCTCAATGTTTAAAGAAACAAGCTCATAAATATGGTCTAAGTCTTAATAACAATAAAAAGTTCCTAAACTTTCTTTTCTTCCTCACATTCCTTGAAGTATTTATCCTACAGTACTACTAAAATCAACAGTGGATAATAAGTGCAGGAACAGGACTAGTAGCACTAATGCAAGTGTACACTTAAACTCAAAATCTGAAACAAAGACTACCAAATAGAACATTAAATAAATATAGAATCTCCCATGGATTGTAGTTGGATATGAATTTTTATCCAACAAATTGTGTGTTTTGATCCCCTCGCCAAGGGCGAGGGAATAAAAACACACAAGTTGGATAAAAAATCATATCTAACAACAAACCATGGGAGATTCTTTTTATCACACGCTTTACACATAGTCCTCAATGTTTTACACTGTTTTATGTATATAAATCCACAATATTTGACTTGATCAAATTCACGCGAAACCCATTGTGACGTCACAACCGTGGATATGATATTCTATGAGCTGTATCCACTGTATAAAGGAATAAACATGTGATAAATTCCTATACAAATCTCACCTGTCACTCTTCCCCGTTCTGTAGGCATGCAAAATCCGCAAAACATGCATAGCAAAATCAGGCAAGAAATTAAATAGCTACTATCACTTAGCATGCTAATAAACATGTCTCACTGAGCAAAGTTATTTTTCTACTAACTCCATATTAAAATTTTGCCCAACAAATCAAATTCTAAAATGAGAACCAATGGTTTATTCAAATGAATAGTGATGACTTTCAACAACCCCCAGTCATTGTTCTACATAAAACCAGATCAATATTTAGTATAAGCAATTTTATAAATATTTCTAAAATACTTTATCCTCTGAATATTTCTAAAATATTTTGCCCTCACAAACACACCCCAATGCTGACCCCTCATTTGTTTCTCTCCCCCACTAACCCATCCCCTTATCTTTGGTACATTTACCTAATCCTGACCCCTCGATTGTCCCTCTCTCCCATTACCGTCACCCCCTTCTCTCTCTTACACACACCTAATTCAAATCCTTCGATTGTCCCTCTTTCCCACTACCCCTAACCCCTCTTTCATACACTCACCTGATCCTGACCCCTCACTTGTCCCTCCCTCGGTCCAGTTAGAGTAGGTATCATCCAGGAACTCGTAATTAAATGTACATTTGTAGTCCGGGTGTTCTGGGTTTTTATTGTTTGTTGTCATACAACGTAGAAACGCTTCCTCTGCCACATCTGTAATAACAAAGATCTAGTCCCTGATTTGGGTCAAACAAGTTTTTATTTCCTTCTTAATAAAATAAAATTATCTAACCTCAAACATGTACCTAAAATTTTTTGTGAACCTAGAGAAAACTGTTCACAAATAATTATGTTTTCGTTACTATAAATACTGACCTGGCATTTTCTGTTTATGTTTTCGTTACTAAAGATACTGATCTTGCATTTTCTGTTTATGTTTTCATTACTATAGATACTGACCTGGCATTTTCTGTTTATGTTTTCGTTACTATAGATACTGATCTTGCATTTTCTGTTTATGTTTACATTCGTTACTATAGATACTGACCTGGCATTTTCTGTTTATGTTTTCGTTACTATAGATACTGACCTGGCATTTTCTGTTTATGTTTTCGCTTCTATAGATACTGACCTGGCATTTTCTTGATGAGTTTCCTCATGGGTGTGGTACGTAACCCCGTCGCTATGTCAGGGGTCTCGTTCCTCATTGCCTCCTCCCATTTATCACTGTTTATGATAACCGACGCAACATCACTAGAAAAACAAAGATATATGTGTGAGAATACAGCCATTCAACAATACAACAAAATGTTGTCAATGGACTGGTGTTTTTTTATGGATTGATGTCTAATTCTTCATGACCTATAGTTTATTGTGAGTGATGACCTATGGTTTTTTGGATGACTAACGGTTTATTATTGTGACTTTCAGTTAATTGTTTTTACTTGTGGTTTATTGTTGTGAGTTATTGTTCCAGACTTACTGTTCATTGTCATGACTTGTTGTGTTTTGACTTATGGTTTATTGTTTTGACTTGTGGTTTACAGTGCAGGAAACTAATTTTGTTACAGCATCGATGCTGATTTGAATGCTTCCTTTGCTTGCTGATTTAATGCTAGTTATCCTTATCCTGATGCTGTTTTATAATTAGGTCAATGCTACCGGAAGTAGCATCATGCTACCGGAAGTAGATAACTGGATTTCAGCATTGCCGTTTAAAGCAATAAAAGTGCCTTTTACAATTATTTGATCATAATATCTCACTATGTATCAATAATGTGAATACTCTAACCAATATTCTTTCTTTCTTTATTAATTTTTTACTGAATTAAAACTCATTGATTTTCTGATGCTAGTAGGATAATGCTGATTTTATGTAGGTCAATGCTGGTTTTATCCTTTGCTTGCTGATGCTGATCCTGGTAATGCTGTTTTTTTAATGCTGATGCTATCTCGATCCTGATGCTACTAATGCTTATGCTGATGCTGGTTTATGTAACAAAATTAGTTCCCTGCACTGTATTGTTGTGACTTATGGTTTATTGTTTTGACTTATGGTTTATTATTGTGACTTATGGTTTATTGTTGTGACTTATGGTTTATTGTTGTGACTTACGGTTTATTGTTTTGACTTATGGTTTATTGTTGAAACTTATGGTTTATTGTTTTGACTTGTGGTTTATTGTTTTGACTTGTGGTTTATTGTTGTGACTTACAGTTTATTGTTGTGACTTATGGTTAATTGTCATGACTTATGTTTTGTCAATGTGACTTACAGTTCTTTGTAATTTACGGTTTGTTGTGACTTATGGTTAATTGTCATGACTTATGTTTTGTCAATGTGACTTACAGTTCTTTGTAATTTACGGTTTGTTGTGACTTATGGTTAATTGTCATGACTTATGTTTTGTCAATGTGACTTACAGTTCTTTGTAATTTACGATTTGTTGTGACTTATGGTTAATTGTCATGACTTATGTTTTGTCAATGTGACTTACAGTTCTTTGTAATTTACGGTTTGTTTTGACTTATGGTTAATTGTCATGACTTATGTTTTGTCAATGTGACTTACAGTTCTTTGTAATTTACGGTTTGTTGTGACTTATGGTTAATTGTCATGACTTATGTTTTGTCAATGTGACTTACAGTTCTTTGTAATTTACGGTTTGTTGTGACTTATGGTTAATTGTCATGACTTATGTTTTGTCAATGTGACTTACAGTTCTTTGTAATTTACGGTTTGTTTTGACTTATGGTTAATTGTCATGACTTATGTTTTGTCAATGTGACTTACAGTTCTTTGTAATTTACGGTTTGCTGTGACTTATGGTTAATTGTCATGACTTATGTTTTGTCAATGTGACTTACAGTTCTTTGTAATTTACGGTTTGTTGTGACTTATGGTTAATTGTCATGACTTATGTTTTGTCAATGTGACTTACAGTTCTTTGTAATTTACGGTTTGTTTTGACTTATGGTTAATTGTCATGATTTATGTTTTGTCAATGTGACTTAAGTTCTTTGTAATTTACGGTTTGTTGTGACTTATGGTTAATTGTCATGACTTACGTTTTATTGTTGTGACTTACGTTTATTGTTGTGACTTATGGTTTATTGTCGTGACTTACATTTTATTGTCGTGAGGTACGGTTTATTGTCATGACTTATGGTTTATTATTGTGACTTACGTCTTATTGTCATGACTTACGTCTTATTGTTGTCGATAGCCAGGTCCAGACAGTTGTTCCCGTCCGTGTCTCTTTGTGATACGTTAGCGTTGTGTTCTAGCAAACACTTCACTACATCAGCATGTCCGTATCGAGACGCCAAATGAAGGGGGGTGGTCTGTATGATAATATCTGTGTATCAAACTCATGAAAAACTTAAAATTATTCAACTTACATGTATATTACTACATCATTTTGAAAATTAACACTTTGTCTACAAATTGGAATGTGAAAATTCAGACAGCTGATCAATGTGAAGAGACTTACCTTCGTTTTATCCATAGGGTCCACCTGGGCATCAGCGTCCAACAAACATTTGACTGTTTTTAACCAACCCTTAGCAGCTGCACAATCAAGGGGAGTCCATAACACAGAGTTTCTAAAGTTATAACCAAGGTCAAATGTAACAATATCAAACTACTTAATTGAGATTTATTGGAAAAATTGTCATGCGGCCAAAATAAAATTATTGTTTGTTTGAAATTGCTTCCCTCGTCATTGAAATGACCTCCTGAAAAAAATTTGACTAAAAATAAGAAAATCTGTTTTTATTTAATCAATTCTTGGCCTATTGTCACATGCACCACCAAAACATTTTATCAGTGTCGGTTCTAGGCAAAGACAGGGTTCTTAGTTGATGGAAGGTACTTTTTACATAAAGTCAGAAAATAATGTGTTCACTTTTAGTGATATTTTTATCAACAATTTTAAATTTAACTTCAATTCTGAAAAGAAAATAAGTTGCCCCCTCCTCCCTCCCTCCTGGGTCTGAAACCCCAAGGTCACAATTCTAAACAAACAATTTTATAAAGAAGGTCTTACTAAATATTATGCTGTCCTTTAAAAGAAAATTTTATCTGCTCCAAGAATATAAAGTAGGCCACAGTACAAGTTTGTGGCATGAATCTAGTAGATATCACTTAGATACTCTATTGTTTATAGGATATTCAATGTTGGAATTTATTTCAAAAGTGAGACAGGATTTATTTTTTGCGAGGATGAAGCAATACTTCACTGTTGAAAATTTAGTAAATGTGTCAACTACCTTGACCAACTTTTCTTTGAACAAGTGATGAATAAAATGAAGCCACACAACATAAATTAACGAGATCTGAGCTCACCTGGCAGCGACGTCCGCCCCGTTTTTGATGAGGATCATCGCGACTTTAGTGTGACCATGAAGCGTGGCGAGATGTAGAGCTGTGTTAGAGTCCTCGTCTTCATCATTCACAGATGAGTGATCACGAATCACCATCTCTCGCACAACACTGCGAAACAACAGAATTAAAAACATGGTCCTAAAGCATAAAGAATGGCATGGGCCTTCATTTGAATAAACATGGAACTCCTTTCTTCTTTAAAAACAAACTTTAAAAGAAAATCTTTGTAAAGTGAGATGGACCAAAAATTCACCTCACACACCAAGCAAATAGGGGGTTAGGAAAGTGAAGTACTCACTAAGCTATTGTTAAGATGTTGTACACTTGAACTTGGAGCCACTTACTTGGTTCTACCATTTTTAGCTGCCAGATGTAATGGAGTTTGTTCTTCTTCATTTTTACAATCTAAGTCAGCGCCGTTTTCAATCAGACACTGTAAACATGGTAATGGTAAATTACCAATCAAATGCATACTACAGTCCCTGAAACGTTCTACTTTCCCATTTTTCCGTTCGCTCACCGTTCGTTCACCGTTCGTTCAGCGTGCGTTTACCGTTCGCTCACCGTGCGTTCACCGTTCGCTCTCCGTTCACAGTTTTGCGTTCAGCGTTCACCGTGCGCTCGCGTTCACCGTTCATAAAGCGTTCACCGTTCGCTCTTCGTTCGTTCACTTAGCGTTCACCTTGCGTTCAGCGTTCACTTATCGTTCAGTCTTCAGTGTCATTCGGAACTCCGAAGTGAAAGGACTTATCTTTTTTTAAGTAAGGATTTACAGGTTTTGAATTTAATAAATAACATACCGTGTTTAAAGAAACATTATTTCATGGGGGAAAAAATTATCTACAATATTTATTTTTATTATTCTAACTTAGCTGTTAGGTTATTTATTAAATTTAAATACGGGCAAAATACTGATACTTCAAGCACTGCAACATTTTGTTGTTATGTTAAAGACGACAAATCGTTAATGGATAGATAATAATCGAAGTCAATTAATTTACCAACTGCAGCAAAAATACGAAAATATTTATTTCTATCACATTTTTTTCCTTCAAATAATACAGAAATACATGTTAGAACTTGTTCTGAGAATGATAAACAGTACTGCGGATATCCAGTTAATTAAATATCTTTAGAGCGAATTAAATTAATAGTGTGGTTTAAAAAAAATATATGTTTAAAATGTACTACATTAAAGAATTTTTTTCTACTTTACATATATAAAGTCTTTAATTAGAGAGAGAGAGAAATGCCTTTATAACATGATTATCATTTATGTAACCAAGGTGATTCTCCAGTAATGATATTTTTCACCGTAACTTTATATGTTTTGTCATTCGATATTATTAAGAGCCCCCCCCCCCCCTTCCCCTAAATCGGTTACTTAGTTAATTTTTCCAGTATATTTTAATTAACATTTTAAAAGAAGTTAATATGTTTGTAGCACAAAAATTTCAGTCTCAAAACAAACATGCATCTAAACAAAGTCATTATACAATATTAGTTCAAAATATACATGTGCAGGCGGTGATATTTTAAATTGGCAGGGAGCATGTTTCAAATTCAAGCGGCTTAATTATTCCAAGTATTTATTCCCAATGTATTTTATTCATTTATTTATTTATTATTTTTTTTTTTTTTTAGAAATGTTGGAATCAGATCTAGAAATGATAAGAAAACATGTTAAAACTTCTTGGAAATACTAACACTTTGCCTTCGGTGTGACGAGACTTTCACACCTGCACAGTGTCGAATGATTTTGATTGACAGGTCAAGCACGTGGACTTCGTGTGAACTTGAAGCAGGAAAATAAAAACCGATTATGACTGTAAAACAAATTGATTTGTTGATTTAAAAAAATGGTTACTTTCACTGCCTGATATAGTTAGAAAAAAATTAGAATTTTTGTTTGATATAGGTACAAACATTTGAGGAAGGGAGGGGGGGGGCAAAACCGAATCTCTCTCTCTCTCTCTCTCTCTCTCTCTCTCATTTGTCTGTTTAATAAAAACTATGACAGCATATTACTTAAATATCAAGTTGTGAAAATTAAATATATAACAAATAATATGATTGCCTCTTTGTATCATCTTGTCCGAGTATAATCACGGCCGGGAAATGTCTACAGATACATGTAGAAGTCTGCTCAATAAATCATCATAAAAAATAAAACTGACACATAAATATATTATTGCATTAAAATGTTAAAATACGAGTGTATTTATGCAATACGTCCACATACCTTTGTAAAAAAAATTTTCTCTTTTTTTTTTTTACACGGAATCGCCTTGTATGGTTGTTACAACCGTTGTAATTCATTCTATAAGTCCGTAGTTTTCTCTTCTAAAATCCGTGTTATCATAAAGTTGAATTTAAACATCGTACATATTTGCAGAAAATATTGTAAGAAACTTAAATTAATAATTTTACTTAATGTGCATGTATCGTCTCTCTTAGGACAATTTTCATTGATTTGTTTATTTATTTATTTATTATTATTTTTTTAGCACCAGGCATTAGAATACAATAGAATAGTTTCAATGCAAGGAAAAGATCAGAGGCATTCCGAATAAATCGTTCATCTTGCGTTCACCGTTCACTTTGCGCTCGCGTTTGCGCTCCGTTCGCGTTCTGCGTTCGCTCACCGTTCACCGTTCACACATCGTTCACCAAGTTGCGTTCAGCGTTCACACATCGTTCACTCACCGTTCGCTCTGCGTTCGTTCACCGTTCGTTCACCGTTCGTTCAGCGTTCGCTCACCGTTCAAGTGGGAAAGTAGAACGTTTCAGGGACTGTATCATTCAACTATGATAACCATTAATTATTCTCAACAAATTGTAACAAAAGAAGATAAGGATTGCCTACAATTCAGATTTCAGTAAATTTGTTATGTACTAGGTACTTCATGTACATTGTGTCCTGTTTCTTACATACAGAGTCATCAAAACTTTCTGAATGCAGTACGACATCTGACAAAGTTCAAAGGTTAGCCAGTCTATACAAAATTCTGTCAGTCCGACTATTTCATTTTGATTGTTTAACATGTTTAATGTTTAAGTTAATCAGTCACCTGGACTGACATGTCAAATAACTGCTTGACTTCAGGCAATTTTTTTTATCAATTTTGCTGAAAGAACCAATATGGTAAATGTATCTTGTGTAGTGGAGTGTATATATAAAACATACCCTAACAATACCCAGATAGCCTTCCTGAGCTGCAATGTGTAGAGGGTGGTTGTCATAGCGATCTCCAACGTCCACAAGTCGCCTGACGTCAGGGTAGGCCAGCATCGTCTGGAAGTAAAACATAGGAAATCAGAGATTACAGAGCTCACCTCAACGAATGTTGTCTTTAACTAAGGCAAAGTCCCACACTAAACTGATAATCTAGTAGACTTAGTGTGCATCCCTAGATGCAACATTTATGCAATTTTGGTCTGATATGGCTTGCTGCTTGGGAATGGACTTATCTAAAAACTTAAAACTAGTCACTCATCCAGAAAATGCAAGTCAAATCCAGCATCTGAAGCAAGTTTGAGAGTGTTCGTCCCTTGATGCATCATCCATGCAAGTTTGGTTCTGATAGGCCTTATAGTTACTTGGAAATGAGATCTGCTCCAAAAACTTTAACCTGCACCAAAAACCTTAACCTGCTCCAAAAACATTAACCTGGTCATTCTTTAGCTGAAATTGCATCTGAAACCTTGACTGGTACAATGAAACACACTAGAAGCATCCTCCATGCATCTCTGAATGATATAGGGCATAGAAGTACTTGAAAAGAAACTGCTCCAAAAACTTTAACCTGGGATGCCGACGCCGAGGGTATTACATAAGCTCCTCTAACTTCGTTGAGGTGAGCTAAAAACTATGGAGGGTAATCGTGTTCAAAAATCCAGACTTGTAAGTTTGTAAATCCAAACTTGTACGTTCGTAAATCCAAACATGTAATCGTATCAGTTTCACAGTCTACATATGTAAGTAGGTAATTCCGACATCCTAGCATGTAGTTCCGAACATACAACTGTGTTGACTTTGAGTTTATACTATTAATGTGTGTATTTTTGATGTTGTAAACTTTGTTTTCCGGAATTTATATTTCCGCTCTCTGAATAAAACACAAAGACAATTGACAAGTCTACAAATGTAAAGTCTATATGATTGTCGAATTTTGATTATGAGAACCTATGGAGGGTCGTCAGTGCCACAATTATTTTTAATGGTCTTATTTTCTTTTTATTCTAACTTTCTGTTTTCCAAATTAAATTCTTTATTTTTTATTTCTTATTTTAATTCTTACTTCTTGAAGGCGCGGATCTAGAAGGGGGTCCGGACCCCCCACTCCCACCCCTCCCCCTGAAATTTGTAGACTTAGTAAATGTTTATACTAAACGAATTAAAAGTGACCTTGGATCCCCCTCGAAAATGCTGATCTGTGTTAAGTTGACGACTACCCCCCCCCCCCCCCCCCCCATACACACGAGCGAAATAGGGTTTTCATGCTTGGGAAAGGAGTTTATTTTTTTTTTTTTGCTTGTCAAGAAATTTCTGGGTTGGATTTTTTTGGACAGGGATGTACTCCCCCCCCCCCCCCTTGGATCAGTGCCTGTTCTTGTTTATATTTTCCAGTTTTATTCTATTTTATTTATTTTATTATGGCAATTTTGATTCCTTTCGTATTCTGATTCTTTCTTAAAATTTCAATTATGTTTCACTTCACCTAAGTTAACACTTCATTTTTTTTTTTTGGTAACAACTATAAGCAAAATCGAAAGTTTGTTTAAGAAACTAGAACTTACGGAGTTAAACTAAGAAATCCGAGTAAAATTTAAACGAAAAGGGAAGCTACGGCCTTTTATGTACAGGTACACGGAGATTTTGGCAAACAGTCTACCTACAAAACGTACAACGTAGAAACATTTCCATGGAACATATTTTTTTTTCATTTTAAAAACCATTTGATGTCGTTCTTGCGTGTTTTCTCTCGTTTTCAGGTCCGTAGGAAGCATTTTCATTGGGTGGGGGTGGGGTGGAGCAGTGGGCACAAAACAAAAATTTCTTGTTAAGCTCCCCCCTCCCCCCCCCCAAAATGAAACATTCCTGTTGAGGGGGTACAATGATGAATTAGCCTTATTTCTTTTCTTATGTATTTACCGACAAAATTATTGAGGGGGCACAATCAAAAATTGCTTTTTTTTATTGGTATAGTATATACTGGCACCCTCACCCCACTTGCTACCTACGGACCTGATTCGGGGCCATAAAACTTAGATGTGCTCACTTTTGATCCCAGTCTCTCTTTTCTACATACTATTAATTCCTTTGTTAAATGTGAGACTGTGATCAAAAATGAGCCAGTCTAAGTTCTATGGCCCTGGTGCAAGATGTTTCAAATATGATAAATATGAACACCATTTTTGATTGCCCGCTTATGGTACACAAATATCAGGTATCTTTAAATTGATATTGTCATCACGTTATTTTTTTAAAGTAGGACAGAGAAAATTTTTTACTAACAAATCTCAGGTCCGAAGTAGGAGGGATCGAAAGGTTGGGCTCCCAACTTTTTTGTGTGGAGAATAATCTTTTGCAGCTGTTTTAATATGAAAATTCATTTATAGGCTGTGTGCCCAACCATCCCCACCCCCCATCCCCCTTATTTTGCAGTATCATTAAACTCGGGATAATTCTTGCTTTGAAAAAAAAAGTTACTGAAAAGTTAAAGATATCCTAAACCGCGCCTCCCACAAAGGAAGAGTTTAATTGTGCATTATATTTATTTTATTTTTCATCGTCAATTTTTGGAGCCCCCCCTCCATTGATACGGATCTTCATCTACTGAGTGGTTGTTTTTTTTTTAAATATAATATCATTGCAGTTACATTGGTTCTTAATAAACTGACGCACTGATCACAGTAGCCTAGTGGTTGGGAGCTAGCTTCGTAGGCCATTGGAGGGTAAGAGTTCACTTGTCCTAAGTTCCTAGTGCCGGCCTGCAAAATGTAAGACGTTTAACATACGTGTTGGTAATGACTATTCCTTTGGCATTGAAAGTCAAATTGAATAATTTTTCGATTGAGACCTTAAAAACCGAAGCCCCTCTAGATCCGCGCAAGCCGTGAATAAGCGGGTAATGATTCATGTCACATCGTCAAATTAAAAAAAATTAAGAAGATAAAATAAAATTGGAATATATAAAAAAAAAAGTTAGAATTAAAATTAAATAACAAATTCAAGTGAAAATATTAACATAGAATTGGAAGTAAGAATTAAAAAAAGAAATAAAATCTAAATAAATTATTTCAGTTGGAAAAAGAAGAAATTAAAATAAAAAAAGAGAAAAAATGTGGCACTGATGCCCCTCCATAGTTTCTCATAATCAAAATTCGACAATCATGTAGACTTTACATATGTAGACTTGTCAATTGTCTTTGTGTTTTATTCAGAGCGCGGAAATATAAATTCCGGAAAACAAAGTTTACAACATCAAAAATACACACATTAATAGTATAAACTCAAAGTCAACACAGTTGTATGTTCGGAACTACATGCTAGGATGTCGGAATTACCTACTTACATATGTAGACTATGAAACTGATACGATCACAAGTTTGGATTTACAAACTTACAAGTCTGGATTTTTGAACACGATTACCCTCCATAAAAAACCACTGATGAGACACAGCCACAGATGACAAAGGAAATCTGTTTCTGATTAACTGATGACTGTTTGTATAATCATAATAACTTGGCCAGAAGGAGGCGGATATGGTATTCAAACCCACTTCGTTAAGGGTCCTGAAGGAAATGTCTGATTAACTGTGATTCTCTCTATCATCATTTCTAACTAAGGAATGGTAAAAGCATCTCTAACGTTCAAAATTAATTCCTCATTTCTTTTTATCATGAAAAAACCTTATTCTAAATTCTACCATATGTATATAAAGGGCATTTGTTTTCTTTTAATTTTCCTTTTAATATTTTGAAACAGCACATCCACTTTCTGGATATAGAAAGTAATTGTTCACCTTGAGTGCCTCGAGTTTGTCTTCCTCTGCTGCAAGGTACACAGCCGTCTTGTCGTTTTTATCCACCGCTTCATAATCTGCGCCTTTCTTCAGAAGAGCGTCCAGCGACTCGGCGTGACCTGAATATGCTGCCATCAGAAGTGGGGTGTAGTTGTCTCTGTCTCGCTTCTCCATAGGAGCTTTCCTGATTAAGACAATGTACCATTTTTATCCTTCTTTGTAAAACAATTGTTAACATCTGAGCAAAATAATGTAAATACTCTTCAATCTACATATAAATTAATACTCCTTTGAAAGATACTCATGTATTTTAAGATGAATTTTTTAAAACTTCCATCTGCTTAAAAATCTTTTAATTTGCTTAAATTCTCAAATAAAACTGGTATTTAAGTATAATTTTGCTTCTTATACTACAGTTTACAGGGAGATCACTGTATATGTATAAACCTATACGTTGGTTGACCTACATTTCAATGAGGAACTCGACTACATCCTTGTGGTTGAAGCCTGCAGCAATGTGAAGGGGCGTGGCCATCTCGTCGTTCAGGGCGTCTATTCTGGCGTGGTTACGTACCAGCAACTTCACACACCTGTTCAATAACAAAATTTGTAGATGTATTTTTTTCATCCTTTTTGATCCAAGTGTCATCAAAAAATTCTTACCAGGTTAAAAAAACACCTCTGCAGGTGTTCCTAACATTACCAGATGGAGGGGTATATTTAGTTATCATGGGGGTGTAATAAATATTACCTGATATCCCCTGCTTTGGCTGCCAGGTGGAGGGGGTACATATAGTTACTACTGGGGGTGTTGACATCTGACCGCTTCTCCAGACAGAGTTTAACCACATCGTAATGTCCGTTCTCTACCGCCAGGTGTAAACAGGTGTTCTGATCGCAGTCCCTGTCCGTCACCATCTGGTGTCAGAAATCAGAGTAGAATTTCATTATATAGGGTATAAATAAGAAATAAATAAAGTTAATCAAGTTTAATAATAAAGTTATACAATTCCTGCTCATACATTTCACTCATTTCAGAAATGTCCAGGTAAATGCACCAAAGTTTCAAAATCCCAGAATTTTATTTCATTATCTTTGTTTTAAATCTTTCAAATAGAATAAACCAGAAAATATTTCCATGCACCATATCCAACATTTTTTTCCACACAACAAACATGTACTTTCACAAGTTTTGCATGGACAATAAAATTGTGAATATTTGTAGACAGGAAAGACACATTACTGTAGTGTTTTTAACAGTAATTATTTATGAAAACAGAGAGTTGTTGAATCCTTACATTTGAGATGGTGACCCAGCCATCTTGTTTAGCCCCGGCCTGGAACAAGAGCTGTACGATCTCAATGTTTCCCTCCGACGCCGCACAATGGAGGGGGGTAAGGTCCTCATTATCTTTACATCTAAGCTGGGCTCCAGCATTAATCAACATCCTGGCTATCTCTACATGGTTATGGGTGGCAGCCATGTGTAACGCCGTCATGCCCTGCTTGTCTTCAGCCTATTTAATTAATTATAACCTGTTCAGTGATTTTACTGCCTACAGAATGGCAGTTATAAATGTCTACACCAGTATCTGCTTATTTCTTGTTTTGAATGAATCGTAACATCCTTCTTTATGATCCTCTTAAACATTTTTACAGCTTTGTTCAAACTTACACATTTCATACATGTAATGATCATTGTTAGAAAATACTTAATAAGATTTCCTGAATTGAAAATACTATTAAATTTTCAAATATTGCAGATGTTTATACATGGATTATAATCCCCTATACAGTGTCCCTTACCTCAATGTTGATGCCTTCAAACTGCAGTAGTTCCTTTGTGGCGAGCTCGTTCCCTCTCATCGCTGCGTAATGTAGGGGAGTTAATCCATACTTATCTCCCCTGTTCATGTCCGCTCCGTTCTTTATGAGGTATATGACCACAACATCCTGTTTGGCCAGCTCACCCTCCGATTGGCTGCTAGGTATTGCATTCATCTAAATAAACCAATCAAATTATCTCAGTCAGTGTTTGTAATCAAAGCCCAAGGTGATTACATTTACCTAAAATTAAACGACATGTTGTGCAAGATTCTACACTTCTAAACTTGTTCTTGAATTTTAATTGAACTTATTTCTTTAATGTTTATCTTTGGAAGAATATTAAGCTTATTTTTGCATGATAAACCCATGCTACATGCACAAATTATAGTGACTGCTTCAAGAGAAAACAAGATGTGTTTGTGAAACACTGATGCCCCCGTATGGCAGCTTATGGCTAAGGTTAAAGTTTCTCAAATGGAAGTCAAAATCCAGGCCAAAAGATAACAAAAAATGTTGATACCCAAAGAAAAGTCTTGTCTTGAGGAATATACCTGTGAAATTTGAAAGACCTAGCTGCAACTGTTCAAAAGTTATGGCGAAGGTTAAAGTTTTTTAAATAAAAGTCAAACGTCAAGGTCAAAGTGGTTGGTATCCAAAGGAAGATCTTGTCACAAGGATTACATATGTGAAGTATGAAAGCCCTATCACCAACCACTCAAAAGTTATGACCAAGGTTAAAGTTTTTCGAAAGTAGGTCAAACTCCTATGTCAAGGTCAAAGGGTCAGAGTGGTTGGTATCCAAAGGAAGGTCGTGTCACAAGGATTACATATGTGAAGAATGAAAGCCCTAGCACCAACCATTCAAAAGTTATGGCCAAGGTTAAAGTTTTTCAAAAGTAGGTCAAACTCCTAGGTCAAGGTCAAAGGGTCAAAGGGGTTGATATCCAGAGGAAGGTCTTGTCAGAAGGAATACACATGTGAAGTTTGAAACCCCAAGCCCCAACTGTTCAAAAGTTATGGCCAAGGTTAAAGTTTTTCAAAAGTGGGTCAAACTCCAAGGTCAAGGTCAAAAGGTCAAAGTTTTTGGTATCCAAAGGAAGGTCTTGTCACAAAGAATACACATGTGAAGTTTGAAACCCCAAGGACCAACTGTTCAGAAGTTATGGCCAAGGTTAAAGTCTCATAAAATTTTGCAAAAGTGGGTCAAACTCCAAGGTCAAAAGGTCAAATATGATGGTAACCAAAGAAAGGTCTTGTCACAAGGAATACACAAGTGAAATATGAAAGCCATAGCTCCAACCAATCAAAAGTTATGGGCAAGGTTAAAGTTGACAACAGACAGACAGACAAACAGACAAACGGACAGACAAACAGATAAACAGACAAACAGACAGACAGGACAAAAACAATATACCCCTGGGATCTTTCGATCCGGGGGCATAAAAATGTTTATGTTTGAAGTGTGTGCAGTATAATCTTTCAAATTGACAAAAACCTCACTATCTTGTTAATTAAAATGTTGTGGTGTAAAGTTATCCCAGTGCTGCACATTTGACTTGTAATGGAGTTCACGCTTGTCAGGATGTATATTTATATTAAACAGTGAAGTTGTATTGAGGAAGAGATAGGGACCACACTGGAAAACGGTGAATTCCATGTGATAACTAATGATTCAACTCAATAAAACTGGTGAATTCCACATAACTAACAGTGAACTCCACAGGATAACTAACGATTAAACTCGATAACGTTGATTTCGGTCGTCGCTTTACTGACTTGGGTCTCGCTCCCTAGAAAATGTTTCACAAACGTACAATCAAACAGGCATTAGAAATAAGAAAGTAAGAGAATCATGCTAAAAATTCTGTATAAAAAAGAAAGTATATAAGCCCTCTCTCCTCAGTGCATGGTCATCTCACTTCACAAGAGCAGGAATTTAGCCATATGTCCAATAGAGAAATTTTATGATAAAATAGGTCACATGCTGTCCTGACAAATTGAGACATATCCAAAAAACAATAAACTGGTATGCATGCCGCGCCTGATAATGGAGCATAGAACGTACTGTCAAAATAGAAATAACGCAGTCAAAATAAATATAGCGCATACTGTTGAGGTCATACCTCCCAAGGAGTTATCTCCCCCTCCTCCTCCTGAAACACAAAAGCCTTTATTTCATGTGCTACATAACTAATTACAAATTCATCTGCCACATGGTTTATAAAGACTTTTTTTCTTTATATTTCAAGAGTTTTCAAAGACTTTTTTAAAGACCTTTTTATTGATATTCCAAACACCATATAGGTATAAATTGTTATCGTTCCAGCACAGAGGTGCATGTGTGAACCATGTTCCAGAGATATACTATGAGAGTCATCTATATCAACAGGTAAGTACAGGTTTATTCAAATATTTTCCATACAAATTATGTTTTTAAATATGTAGTAAAGTAAGAAATTGTTAGATCCCCACCTCTCGATCCTCCAGCACGAGCTCGGATCCTCTCCTCTGTTTCTCTCTCTTGTAACGAGCTGCATAGTGCAATGGAGTTAAAGCCTCCTCATCGAGGGAATTTATATCTGTAAATGAAACAATTTTCCTCTTTGTATAATGGCATTCCATTCCTAATCTCTATGTGCCTACTAAATTAATCTACAGACAAAATGCATCTGATAGCTTTTGATGAAATTTATATGTCAGCTGTGTTACCAAGTACTATTAAAAAACTTTTAAACCCATATACTCTGACTGTAAACTTTGTCAGAATCTACATACATTTTCATCACTGCCTCTTTAATATTACCTGCAGTGTATTAGGATTTAGATGAATACTGTTACTATTTGTAAGAGAATGCCAGAATTATTTACCTGCCCCGAAGTTGTGTAGGAGTTTGACGATTTCGTACTGATTGTAGCGAGCGGCGTAATGCATAGCCGTCACGCCCTCCTCATCCCGCATGTTTATTTTCTTCCTGACGTTTCCTGTAATGGACTTCAGCAGAATCTCCATGCTGCGGGTGTCTCCATTACGGGCACACTGGTGAAATAACACATATAAAGAGTTAGCTGTAGCACATTATTACCTCCAACATTGGAGAATTATACAAGGGATGTAACTCTAGCAATAGTCTTGCGTCTTTTTGAGATATCATTTTTACTGTGTAATTCAATAAATCTGATTGATTTTCTTGATATTATGTGCAAAATTATATTTTACAACAATAATGACTTTAGTTACTAAAAATAACTTAAGGAAAACCCAAAGGTATCTTTATAATAGTGAAAATTCTTTAAAGTTAGAAAATCTAATAATGAATTTGTTTGTTTCTTTTTTGTTACAAAAGAAAATAAATAATATAACAAATATTGCCCTTTGATTCGGTCAATCCATATAATTATACCAACTTCATATTCACACTTCGTGCTCAGTCGACATGCTTTTCTGTGAAGTCAATATATCTATGGATCCACCTCATAAAAGGGCTATATTTATTTATTTATTTATTTTTTCACCTCATAAAAGGGTTATATTTATTTATTTATTTATTTATTTTTTTTTATTTCTTAAATTTGTTTTATCTGCCATGCGTGTGTATATATGTACATGTGTTTTTTGCATGTTAATTTATGTTGTAAATGTTTAAACATCTTCTTGTCATCAGATATCTAAATACTTCCTACCATTATCATTGCTAGAGTTACATACATGTACTAATAAATTATATATAAGTCCTTAAAAAAAATTATGTTTGTTTCCTGTAACCTGATGGATCCATTCAAATTACAGCCGGGTGGAAATGTCTTTTTTCCTTCCAAATCTATGTTTGCTCAAGTATAGCTGATGGGTTTTTTTTTTTTTTTTGTTTTTTTTTTAATAAAATAATTGTAGCTTTACTTGAGAAATAAAATTATGTCAACTAAGTCAACATTCACATTTAATTTATAATGACTAATGATCATTTATATATCATATAGCATTTTCCCCAGGACTTTTGAATTTGTTTTATGCTGCAAATCACAACTTCTCGGGCCTTTCTGGCAAGAGGAAAAACAACCTCAAATGTGTTAACTATACGTGTTCTGAACAATCCCTCTTCACAAACATTAAAATAAATGGAGACCTATTATCTTTGGAGTATGGAGCTTAACTTCATTGAATGTAAAGATACTACCTAAAATATACCACAGAAGTGTCTATTGTCTCTGTCTATCCAATACTATAAAAAACGATAAATAGGAAGTGACTCAATTTTGTTTAATATATAAAGTTAAACATCCAGTGATTCAGATATAAATGCATTGAATTTTGTGTTTTTCCAGCTTGCAGGAATTAAGACCCAAATGCACATCTGGCTATTTCAGCCCAGGGATTTTTAGGTGTGTTCCCGTTTTGCACACATTTGATAATTAGGTATAGAACAATAGGTGTGAAATATGTTTTGATAGCAATTATAGTCTGATCTCCGTCTAGGATTTACCTGGAACTACCTGTATTTTACCAGTGCATTATAATATAAATTTAAAAGAATAAATTTTGACTGAAGATGAAGTTAATAATTTAGACAAATATCCTTACTGCAGTTCACCCTGTTTACATTTTTTTTTACTTCATAAAAATAAAAATGAAGGAGTAAATAAATCCATTCTTAATTAATTAAAAAGAAAGAGAGTGAGAGACAGAGATTAACCATATGAAAATAATTATAGTTTTGATTAATATTTATGATATTTTTTTGTTTTAAAAAAGTTTTTTCGTAATTATGATATCACAGAAATAAATCAATTAAAATAAATACAAAATTAATCTTTTTTCTTCCTATTCTTTCCATAGATTCTCTTTCTCCAAATTCACAACTATGATATAGATCATAGCAATTAAGTAATTATCTTATCTGGACGAATTCCCGTTTTGCACACATTTTTTCAATACCTGAAATTCAAATGTGCAAAATGGGAACAAACCGATTTTTAACCCTATTAATTGCTTTAAATTTTTCATGGCATGTAGGCATTTAGGGAAAGCAAAAATGAATCTTTTAAACAGGAAACTTCATTATGTGTCTCCATACATCATACATATACATACTGTGACAATCCTACATTAATTTAGCAAAATAAAAAAATCCCTCTACTTTTTGGGAATGTTACAGGAAACAAACATAAATTTTTTGCCTAATTCTTCAGGAAGTTGGCTGTATCACTGTGTTTTATCTCACTGACTAGAGGAGGTTGGCTCTCTCGTTATGCCTTATCTCAATGAGACTTTTCTGGTGTAACATTAGATTCAGGAAGTTGGCTATCTCAGTGAGACTTACCTAATGTGTTATGAGATTAAGGAGGTCTGCCCTATCTCTGCTTTATCTCAGAGAGACTTTCCTGGTGTAATGTAAGATTAAGGAGGTTGACCCATCTCTGTGCTTTATCTCAGAGAGACTTACCTGGTGTAATGTAAGATTAAGGAGGTTGACCCATCTCTGTGCTTTATCTCAGAGAGACTTACCTGGTGTAAAGTGAGATTGAGGAGGTCGGCCGTATCGCTGCGTTTCATTCCACTGGGAACGACCTGCGGCTCCTCCTCATCATCCAGGAGGTTCTTCATCTCGACGCCATTAGCTTTCTTCTCGTCTTCATCATCCGGCCCGGTCACACTGACCGTCGTCCGGTACGATCCCTGGACATCGTCCATGTCTGAGCTGGGGCTAACTCTTGTCAGGGCGATGTGTGGCTGTCAATCAAATCTACAACAAACATTACTGTTAACAGAAACTCACTTTGTTACTCGCAGTTATGGATGCATAATGGTAATTTAAGCAATAAAGACAACTGCCCGTCGTGTTAAAGTTAGTCATCCAAAGAGATCATTATTGTCATACCTTCACAGTTAAAATTTCTTCTCAGGAGGGTTTATTAATCCAACCTTCATATGAATGAATGTTTTCTTAAAAAAAAAATTTAATGTCCGAAACAAATTTCACACAATGCTGGCCTAGTTAGAAAATATTGGTGGGTTAATAATGAGCTAATGACTTCTCTCGTCCCTAATGTTTCACAATAAACAGTCTGATATATTATAGGTAAAAATCACTTTGTAACTGATTACGTATTTTTAACTCAGTTTGTTGTTCATTTCCAAAATGATCGCGGTCTATTTAACTTGGAGAAAATTCGGTGTGTCTACATTGCGCAATGCATGCTAAAAAACTGATGCTTGCAAAATCGGATAAACATGCAATATGAGAATATTGAACTCTTACCTTGCACTTATATTTATCTTATTGTGAATTTCCCACAGTCTTAATCAGAATCCAGAAAACACCGCCGTTTTATCATTATTTCAAAGGCTCATTCATCCGTCAACATATTTTCGTAGTCATCGCTGCAATGCTTTTTTTGTTTATAGTCACGTGACACAATACTTGCCGGACTAGCTATTTTTAGATACTTTTGCTGAAAAAAATGTCAATTCTTCGTTATAGACCTAGCTGGTCTGCACCTGAGAGTATATGGCTTAAAGGGTTTTTAGATTCACTTCTGTGTCAATGTGACCATAAACCATGATCCTATAGAATATGAGGTTAACTTGATCCTCAAAAGCCAAGATCACTTGTCAATACGGTGCATATATGTCAGTGGCGGATTTAAAGGGGCGCACCTGCCTTAAAGTCTTTCTTTCTATATTCTTACTTGCAATATCGGATTCAAAATTTATATTAAAATAATTTATTTTATTCAAACCAATGACAAAATTTTTACGCTTTGTGATGGACATGAATTGTGTGTCTGCATACCATGAAAAAGGAAAATTAAATCGGGAATGTCATTACTCATGGAAAAGCTAGGCCAGAAAAGGGGATTCTTTTGAAATGAAGGGCCGTGCCCCCTTCCAAGGGGAGACAATCAAGAAAAGGCAAACGTTAGGTGTGTTATTTTACTCTCAAGAACAACTGGAGCAGAAAAGATGAAACTGATAATTTGAAAGCTTAATTACTTCCTGGTAAAGTGTAGGTTCAAGTTTTTTTTTTTTCAAATCATGACCCCCAGAGGTAGGGTCTGGGTCACAAGAGGATCACCTGGAAATAAATTACTACAAATTGCACTCTTTATACAAGTGCCAAAAGTTTGAATCTACACAATCTGACTATATCACTAATCATGCATGACACATTAATTGTTCTGAGAAAAGCTTTTTAAGACTTTCCTTTATTTAATCCCATATTATAACTTGAAACCTTGACTCCTATTATGGTGCCACCTAACTATGGGGGTCATGATTTGAACAATATAAATTATCGCAACTTGAGAATCCTTCTGGAGAAATATGACTAATCAAGACTCTGTTGTTCTTCACAAGAATTTATTTTAAGATTTTTTTATATATTTCAATGTAAAACTTTGATACCCTATTGTGGCCCCACCCCTTTCTCTAAGGGCCATGTTTTGTCTGTCACACTTGAGGTCATGCTTGCATATTGATTAAAACTATATCATACATGCATCCTCAGATTGTAACGTTCGAAAATCATGGAGAGATATAACCCAGAGATAGCAATTTTTTTTTTTTTTTTTTTTTTAGAAAAAGTGTTAAAAAATGTGACATTGTGTACCAAATGAGTCACGTAGCCTATTTTCAAGTTATTTTTACCAAATCAAAACACAATATCAGGAAAATATTTCCCTTTCCTATTTCACAGGAACCCGATACATCAAAAGAATGCTAAAACTTAACATGCTTAATGTGACAAAACAATGACATTTTCACTTTTCAAATGTGCCAGATTCCTGCCTAATGCCAATCAAAAGCACCCTGGTTCTTTATAAATACAAGAGGCCAAGGGGCCACATCGCTCACCTGAGCACTATGGCTAGGAAAAAGCAGAAATCAGTTCAGTCTTGAAAGGTTGAAAAGTTTAAATATAAAAGTGGTTCGGGGGGGGGGGGGGGGGGGGGGGGGGGTCATGAATTGAACAAATTTGAATCTACATTATCTGAGGATGCTTCATCTTAAATATGACCAATCATGGCTTTGCTGTTCTTGAGTAGAAGATTTTTAAATATTTAACCTAGTATGTATTCCTATGTAAAACTTTGATCACTCATTGTGGCCCCACGCAACCCCCAGGGGTCATGTTTGAACAAACTTGAATGTACACTATCTAAGAATGCTTCCATATAAATATGACCAATCATGGCTTTGCTGTTCTTAAGAAATAGTTTTTTTTAAAAAGATTTTTCCTACATATTCCTATGTAAAACTTTGATCGCCCATTGTGGCCCCACCCTACCCCCGGGGGTCATGATTTGAACAAATTTGAATGTACACTATCTGAGGATGCTTCCACGTAAATATGACCAATCATGGCTTTGCTGTTTTTGAGAAGAAGATTTTTAAAGATTTTTCCTATATATTCCTATGTAAAACTTTGATCGCCCATTGTGGCCCCACCCTACCCCTGGGGTCATGATTTGAACAAATTTGAATCTACACTACCTGAGGATGCTTCCACATAAGTTTCATATTTTCAAGCACAGTGGTTCTTGAGAAGAAGATTTTTTAATGATGCCATTAATTTTTCATGAATTCATAATTATCTCCCCTTGGAAGAAGACATGGCCCTTTATTTGAACAAACTTGAATCCCCTTTACCCAAAGATACTTTGTGGCAAGTTTGGTTGAAATTGGCCCAGTGGTTCTGGAGAAGAGGTCGAAAATGTGAAAAGTTTACAGACGGACTACAGACAAAATGTGATCAGAAAAGACCACTTGAGCCTTCGGCTCAGGTGAGCTAAAAACCGCATTCTTTTCAATGCTTTTATTGAGCATTCATACACTCTCCATTGAAAGAAAATAAAAATAACTTCATTCAGTCATATATACTTAAATAAAATCCTACAAATCAATTAATGACAAAAAAGAAAATATCAATAACTTCCTAATCAGTCGTAAATACACAAAATAACATCGTATTCATCAATTAACATTGGAGAGATAGCTGTATAGTCCCTTTAGTTTTGGCATCTGTGGCATTTCCTTCAAAGCTTCTGTGTGACTCTGATTTTGCGGTTCCTGAGGCATTATGGGAGGTTTCCATGCACCACTAGTATGACTATCCTCTGTTGCCTTCAGTATAAAAAACAAGAGGCCCATGGGCCACATCGCTCACCTGAGTAACTTTGGCCATGCTGTTCTTTACCAGATTTCCCCCTTTTATAATATACCTATTGTGGCCCCGCCCTACCACCGGGGGTCAAAATTTGAACAATTTAGAATCTACACTACCTCAGGATGCATCCAAATATGTCTCAGCTTTATTGGTCCAGTGGTTCTTGAAAAGAAGATTTTTAAAGATTTTTCTTTAAGTTATATATTTCAATGTAAAACTTGGATTCCCTATTGTGTCCCGCCCTACCTTCTGGGGTCAAGATTTGAACAATTTAGAATCTACACTACCCCAGGATGCTTCCATATAAGTTTCAGCTTTTCTGGCCCAGTGGTTCTTGAGAAGAAGATTTTTTAAAGATTTTTCCTATATATTTCAATGTAAAACTTGGATTCCCTATTGTGGCCCCGCCCTACCCCCAGGGGTCATGATTTGTACAATTTAGAATCTACACTACCCAAGGATGCTTCCATATAAGTTTCAGCTTTTCTGGCCCAGTGGTTCTTGAGAAGAAGATTTGTAAAGATTTTTCCTATATATTTCAATGTAAAACTTGGATTCCCTACTGTGGCCCTGCCCTATCCCCGGGGGTCATGATTTGAGCAGTTTAGAATCTACACTACCCCAGGATGCTTCCATATAAGTTTCAGTATTTCTGGCCCAGTGGTTCTTGAGAAGAAGATTTTTAAAGATTTTTCCTATATATTTCAATGTAAAACTTGGATTCCCTATTGTGGCCCTGCCCTACCCCCGGGGGTCATGATTTGAACAGTTTAGAATCTACACTACCCCAGGATGCTTCCATATAAGTTTCAGTTTTTCTGGCCCAGTGGTTCTTGAAGAAGAAGATTTTTTAAGATTTTTCCTATATATTTCAATGTAAAACTTGGATTCCCTATTGTGGCCCCGCCCTACCCCCAGGGGTCATGATTTGAACAATTTAGAATCTACACTATCCCAGGATGCTTCCATATAAGTTTCAGTATTTCTGGTCCAGTGGTTCTTGAGAAGAAGATTTGTAAAGATTTTTCCTATATATTTCAATGTAAAACTTGGATTCCCTATTGTGGCCCCGCCCTACCCCCGGGGATCATGATTTGAACAATTTAGATTCTACACTACCCCAGGATGCTTTATATAAGTTTTAGTGTTTCTGGCCCAGTGGATCTTGAGAAGAAGATTTGTAAAGATTTTTCCTATATATTTCAATGTAAAACTTGGATTCCCTATTGTGGCCCTGCCCTACCCCCGGGGGTCATGATTTGAAGAATTTAGAATCTACACTACCCCAGGATGCTTCCATATAAGTTTCAGCTTTTCTGGCCCAGTGGTTCTTGAGAAGAAGATTTTTAAAGATTTTTCTTATGTATTTCAATGTAAAACTTGGATTCCCTATTGTGGCCCCGCCCTACCCCCGGGGGTCATGATTTGAACAATTTAGAATCTACACTACCCCAGGATGCTTTCATATAAGTTTCAGTGTTTCTGGCCCAGTGGTTCTTGAGAAGAAGATTTTTAAAGATTTTTCTTATGTATTTCAATGTAAAACTTGGATTCCCTATTGTGGCCCCGCCCTATCCCCGGGGGTCATGATTTTAACAATTTAGAATCTACACTACCCCAGGATGCTTCCATATAAGTTTCAGTATTTCTGGCCCAGTGGTTCTTGAGAAGAAGATTTTTTAATGATCCCACCCTATTTTTGTCTTTTCTTGATTATCTCCCCTTGTAAGGGGACTTGGCCCTTTATTTTAACAATTTACACTCCCCTTCACCCAAGGATACTTTGTACCAAGTTTGGTTAAAATTGGTCCAGTGGTTCTTGAGAAGAAGATGAAAATGTGAAAAGTTTACAGACGGACGGACAGACGGACGGACGGACGGACAGACGGACGGACGACGGACAATGGGTGATCAGAAAAGCTCACTTGAGCTTTCAGCTCAGGTGAGCTAAAAAGTAAAAAAAATATTTTCAAAATCTGTTAAGTTAACATATAATACGCATATGTACCTTCATCGACTTTCATCTTAAAGTATTGCATGTAAGAAGTTCTTTTTAACATATAATACACATATGTACCTTCATCGACTTTCATCTTAAAGTATTGCATGTAAGAAGTTCTTTAAACCTGAAATGATTTTCAAATCAACCGTTTTAAAATGCAACCCACCTTGTACTTTTTGAGGAAGACTGGTGTCTCAGGGGTGTGATTAGATGCATTGGTTGAGGCCAGTTCGGGGGTATCTGGTAGAGGGCGACTGCGAAAGTGTGTATTGGTTGATGCCAGTTCAGGGGTGTCTGGTAGAGGACGACTGTTCAGTTGTGTCTTGGTTGAGGCCAATTCAGGGGTGTCTGGTGGGGGACGAAAAGCTGAGTAATTCCTTGGTAAAGTCAGCTCTGGAGTGTTGGGGAGTCTATGTATTCCCGTTATATCACTCAATTCCTAAAGGTAAGAAAAGCTTGCTTGATTAACCTTGACCTTAGATATAAAATTGATCTTGTTCTTCAATTCAACCAAAGAAAAAGATTTTGATCGAGGTATCCAACTATGGTCAAATATAGGATATTTCATAATTTTTTTTTAAATATATTTACATGTCTGTACTTATATTTCTTTAAAATTTAGAATGCTAAATTATTACTAGGTCTTTTTTTTTTTTTACCTAACTCTGAAATTTTATAGATTTAATGTTACAGGCAAATGAACAGATAAAGTCAGAACGTCTTTAATTGGGTAATAATTCAATCAAATCAAGATGGTACATCAATAAGGAGAGGAGTTTTTTTTCTGAGATGTCTTTTTGTGATTTCCTACCTTTCCAATTCTTACATTCATTGTACCAAATCGAGGGGCAGGGCTGTTACTCTGGTCAAAATTCTCTTTTCCCCTCTACAAAAGATTATTGAATGTCATAATTGAATGCTTGGATTTTGGACATGGGCCCTTGGAATTGAGAATGTAATGACATTTTACATGTATGACTACTGTAACCATGGAAATAATACATGTTATAGATGTTTTAAATTTTTTTGGTTTCTATTTTCCAAACCAGCATGGAGATTTTTTCCCAAATATATGGAAAACAAATTGTTTATATAAAATTTTGTGCAGCATATTTAAAAAAAAAAATTGCTTGGGGGTTTATTGTGCCAAAGTTTTAACCCTGCTGCAGTGACAGTTCCAATTTCCAGTAAAATGATGTATTGAAATGTAATTGGATTTATACTAAGTTATGGTTATGTTCAATAATTAAAGGATGACTGCACTTAACGCCGGTTTTTGGGTCTTTTTCGGTTGCTTCTGTTGCTTTTATATTTAAACCTTATTTCACTTTTGTATGTTTATGAAAGAATCCTGTCAATTTGGAACTAAATTTAAATCTTAAAATGATTTTAGACTGTGATACAATAAAATGATTCAATGTTTTTTTGTCCTTACTGCTTTCCAAATATAGTGAATTTACACTTACCTGCCCTTGATTGAACATACGATATGCATGAGAGGTGGAGCTAACATTGTAAGAATGGGTCTAAATTTAGACTTGATAAATAACAATGACTTGTTTGAAAAAAAGAACGCGATCACTCTTTCCAATCTCCCTCTCCATTCTGTATGGCACAAATACACTACCGACAAATGTTTCAAAACGAAATTAACAATAGCAGCACGTCAAGGTAATTAAAGCAGATTTTATATCAATGCCAGATGACTTAACTATTCGAACACAATGTCTTATAGTTAGCACAACACATGCTACCTTACAAGTCACGTGACGGAATTAAGTACCCCCGGTATTCACAAAGTTACCTGAGGTACGAAATCACGTGGTGAATTATAATATTCAACATGTCACAACCCTTGGTTACAACACAGAGAGCGAATGTACGAAGAAGCAGTTTTTTCTCTTTTTAACCATGAGCGCATGTTTGTCTATTAATCTCCTCTTGACACATTATTATTTATGTAAATATACAACTACTGTTAAACGTAGAACAATAGAGAAAACATGCGCTGACTATGAATGATGTCAGTAAAAAAGTGGGCGTCCTCATTATAGAACGGAAATTCAAGAAATAGTGATGACCCCTGCCTTTGAAAACAGATTCGAACTTCGTAAATACACACTTTTATTAAACGTAATTACATAAAGTTGTTAGGTTGGATGTTGACCATTCTTGCAATGAAAAGAAAAATGCTTGTTTTGAAAGTTTATTTTGACGCAAATTTCGCATGTCCTTAAGTGCAGTCATCCTTTGATATTAACAAACAATTAGTATATTTATAGTAAGTCTAGGACAGACTATGTATATACAAATTACCATCCTGTTAAATTTGATATTAACAAACCATCAGTATATTTATAGTAAGTCTAGGACAGACTATGTATACAAATTACCATCCTGAGTGCCCCATCCTTGACTTTTGGGACCAGAAACTTTTTATCTGCAAAATCTGGAAGTAAAGATAACATTGTGGAGAACAGGAAACATAAACATCTTTTTTTTTTTGTTAACTAGAAATATGTTCATTGACATGAATGCCTCGCTCAGGGTTCATTAGTAATGTAACATGAAAATTTGTATTAGTGTTTGAAGTTCGATGAAAATATCTTGTAAGTTGAATAGTTTCTCTAAAACTGAGTTTTATACACAATAAATTCATAGGTCATTGAGAGGATCAGGGCAAACAAAAAAAAAAAAAGAACATGTTAACTTTTTAATTTTTCACCAAATTAAGTATCTAACCTTACACAAAACTATCTTGAATAGTTTCATTTAAACTGAGTTAAATGCAAATTTAAGGCAAGTGAGGTCAAGGTAAAGAAAATCTAATGCAGTTGAATAGCACTCACCAAATTGTATCAGCAAATGAAGTTTGATTAAAAAAATATATATATACATATCAATTTGTTTCTTAAAACTGACCTAAACACAAAATTGAGAAAAGTGAAGTCAAGGGAATAAGAAAGGTCAGGTTAAAAAATGTTGATGCAATTGATTAGCTTTCATCAATATGTATTTAAAGCATATGTAATTTGATAAAAATATCTTGAATAATTTCTTTGAAACTTAGCTAAACACAAATTTGAGGAAAGTGAGGCCAAGGTCAAAGGAAAGGTCACAAAGTCCAAAAATGTTGATGAAGTTGAATATCTCTCACCAGTATGTACATGTATAAGCATAAAAGGTTTGATAAAAATATCTTGGTTTCTTTGAAACAGAGCTAAACATAAAGTGTGATGGAAGGACAGACGGAAGGAAGACAGACATGATAAACACTATATGCCCCAGCCACACTCATTGCGGGGCATAAAAATTAAAATGTACTAAAAAATGAAGTCCATGGTTACTGTACATGATAAATACATATTACAGTCAATAATAACTGGTCATTCACTTGATTTCCTATTAAAACCTGGTGAACTAGTAACAAAGATGTCAATAATTCCTGATATCGACCTGATGACCACTCACCTTGTTTCCATCCTGGGCTGGCATGCTTCCCTCCAAGAAAACTTGGTGTTACTTGGATACCATCATGTTGAAAGATGTCTGGAACAGAGTCCAACTTACTCCTAAAAAAAGATTACGTACACCTTAAAAGATGTCTGGAACAGAGTCCAACTTACTCCTAAAAAAAGATTACACCTTATAATGAATAGATCAATGAAAGATGTCTGGAACAGAGTCCAACTTACTCCTAAAAAAAATAATTACACTTTAAACTGAAGAGATCAATGAATCAAAATATTAATCACAATCTGGTTTATTTCTGTAAACAGAACCAAGCTTTACTCATATAAACCGAATCAAGTTTTCTCAATACAAATGGAATCAAGCTTACTCACACATTTCAATCAGAATCCAGTAAAGGCATATGTCAGAGTGTTATCCAGAGAATTAAGACAAACTTCTTTTTGTCATACATTACTTTGGCCCAAGAAGGAGCCCTGTTCAGGATAAGCACTAGTCCTGTTTATTTACACAATTTTTTGGGTAGATTTTACATGTAGTCCTGCTTACCTGTGACAGGTAACTGATGGTTAGATTTAACCTGTTTACTTGTGACAGGTTTTTTTTTTTTTTGATAGATGTAAGTTCTATTGTTACCTGATGTTATATTAGTTTTGTTTACCTCTGATAGGTAATTTTAGTTCTGTTAAGTACACCTGTGAGGTGTTACTGTAGAGGTAGATAATTGTTTTGTTTACCTGTGAGATATTTCTTTTTTTACCTTTGAGAGGTAGTATCTGGATAACTAAACACCTGTCCTTTGTCTTGACGTTTACAAGCACTCAGCACAAGGCTACTCAGTCCAAAGTCCTCTGGTTTGGGTGTGCGGGGTCCAGGGAGGGGTTCCTCCTGGGGGGCTCCAGCAGGAACATTTTCTTTCTTTGGTGTTTTTCTGCAAGACCAAATGTACAGATAAACTAACATGTTATTCCTCTGTACATTTATTTGATTACTGTAAACCAACTTTTATTCGTGTACAAGAAATATTCGCAAGTTTTGCAAAGTACTCTAACTCGTGAATATTTATGGCTGCGAGAACCATTTATTTTGCTTTGTATTTGGTGAGAATGTTTCCTCAGTCGCGAAAAATTAATCGTCGCGGACTGATTTCAATTGGATGAATCGCAAATAAAAGATGACGCGAATATTAGTTGGTTTACAGTGTCTTGTGTTGAAGCTCTCCTTACCTGTGAGAGGTTAGCACCTGTGTTTTCTCGGGACGTTTACAAGCACTCAGTGTTAGACTACTTAGTCCAAAATCCTCCGGTTTGGGGGTCCGGGGTCCTTCTGAAGGGGACTTCTCTTTCTTTGGTGTTTTCCTGCAATCATTTACACATTAGATATATCCATAGCATTGCATCCTACCTGCAATTTTAATATGCCTCATTTTTCTCTTAAAAAAAAAAAAATGCTTTGAGTTGAAGACAAAAAAAAAGCTAATTTATAAAAGCTAATTTAGGTACTGTTGCATCAGGTCAAGCACTTCTGCATTAATCAATTTTATTGACGTATTAAAAAAGAAATAATTTCTCATTTTTCCAAGTTGAAAAGAAAATTGAGTTATGTCCCTTTTCATACATGGCTAATAGAAAGAACTTTAGTAGATACACAATATATATCCTGTAAAAATGGTATAATTTATGAATTACCTTTTATAAAAATATTTGAAATAATTATTTTAAGTTGAGTACATATTGTAATTAATATAAGTGCACAAAAATGTAAGAATCAATTGACATCATCATTTTGTTGAGTGGCAAAAAACCCCACCTGCTTCAACCCCTCCCCCCCCCCCCCCCCCCAAAAAAAAAAAAAAAAAACGAAAAGAAAAAACGCTGGCCAAATTTGGCCTGAGAAACTAAAGATTAATTTTTTATGGCCTGTCTGATAACATTTTTTTTTTTTTACAGTAAACAAGATTACAAAAACAGTCATATGATTGATATGGATATACTAATTTCATTCATGTTAACGCACATAATTAAAACAACAGCACAAACACTGATTTATAAATTACAAAGTATAAAGATTCACCTTTTTTCAGCTGCTGTTATCTGGTCCTCGTTTGACTGGTTCTCTTCCTCTTCAACTGGTGTCTCCACTTTCTCTTCTTCCGTGGGTTTTACTTCTAAAACTAAAAAATACAACATAAAACATAATATGCTTCTTAAAAACACAGAAATTTATCACTAAACTGGATAAAAATTTATCTGAATAGTAAAGCAAATGTATGACTGAATAATTTTTTTTCTTCAAATTTTCTTTTCTTTTTTCTTTTACACCCCTGACTTGTGACAGTGAAACATCTTCTTAGTACTTACTATGCTACCAAGCATACATAAATCTTACTAAGGAAATTACTGAATTGTAATCTTTATTTTATGATGGGGCTTTGAGTCAGCAGAGAATACAACATTTTTTTTTCACATCTGGAGAACCAAAATTTTGTTTAAAGTTGTCCTACTCCCTCTTAAAGTTAGGAAAGAATCGTTGATGTGAATTCTGATGCGGACTCTCTCTACTAAAGTAAGGACAGGGACTTTGATGTAAATTCTGATAGATCTGTACATATTCTGTTAAGTTACCTTTCTTTTGGTATCCATATTTAGCAAAATACTCCTCTGTTTTCTTAATTTTCTGCCTGTGGATCTCAAGATACTGAGTGGAAATTTTCAAAATCTTGTCAAACTCTTTTCCTTCACTCTCCAATGTGTACAAGAGTTCTTCCCCTTTACACTTAAAACACAGAGATTTAGAACATGTAAAACAAAACTTTGGTATTAAGCTCATCTCAATGAATGTAAAGTATCACAGACTATTAACATGATTATTGAAGCAAAATCTCTTACCAAATGTGCAATATATTCAATTGTATTGAAATTAAATTTCATTACAACTTTACTTTACATCACACATCTGATATGAAAACAACTGATAGCAAGACAGCAATAGTGAGCATTATCTCAGTCTATCCCAAAAGCACCGCTCCATTCACTATGATAAATCCGATGAAAATCGATTTGATCCAAGGGATTTATCAACCTATTTTGGGAAACATCATTTTTAGGGAATTGGGAAAAAATTATCGGCTATTTAAAGAAATTGGGAAAATTAAAAAAATCTTGCTATCGTCATGCATTCAGTTGTGATTCATTTAACGTTTCAGCATGAACTCTAAGTTGGACAACCTCCAAGATCAATTATGAATAATAGTCTACTCTAGACTAATAAAACTAAATTTTAATAAAACCAACTTAGGGTAGTACATGTATGTATCATCCGATAATAAAGTTACAGTATTTGTTCCAAATGTCTTAATTCCTCTCAATTGCCGGGCACATGTAGATATGATCGATAACTAATTGTAACTTAGACATAATGAAGCAACTTTTTACGTCCCAGGGGCTTTGTTTTAGAGGTCCTTTACTTATCATTGATCAAACACATGTAAAGCATGGAGAAGTTTGAAGAAAGTTTATAAAGTGTATATATGTACCTTCATTTCTTTTACATCTGACTTAAGATCAACAACTTTTTTCACTGCTGCAGCAGGACCCCGCTTGGAGTAGTTATTTTCTACTTCATCTGTGACGTCATGTAAACCACGGTCCACCATCCGTGCTAGCTGTTTCAGCTGCTTGAAGAAGGAATCACCATTCATATTTGTATCTGGACTCTCCAGTGCTTCCTTGTGCTTGAGAGACAGACCTACAATTTACAATTTCTTTTTGATTGCTTTTTCTGCTCGTTTTCAATCATAAATTGATTAGCAGGAATTAATGATCTTTTATGAATTCCTTAATGTTACCTAAATATCCGTCTGAATATGGCTATAATTTCAATGAACTTATTTTACTTTTTGCTTTGTTTACTTACTGTTTAGCAAATGAAAATTTAAAATCGGCGCGCTTACTTTCATTAACTCGTACGAGTTTTATTCTTATGATCATGATATTTATTTCAATTCAATTTCATCAACATAAAATTTAGGATTATAAAAAATCGAATGCATAACAATTTATATCATTGATCTATGACAAATTAACTACATTGATATCTATATTAAAAAAAAATGTATATAGTTCGGGCTCGGGGTCCTCCTGTTCTAAAAATGAAAGTAGAGTTTCACAATGACAGCAGAAGAGGTATGTTACAAAAAGTGATGCATTTTTCATCACATTCAATGTTTTAACTACAATTTGTCATGGAATAGACAACAGTTAGCTACTTTCTTCAAATAACGAATACTTTACAACATTAAGGAACTAATTTTGTGCGTCTGACCAAGTTTCATGATACCTTAAATATATTTGTTACAAGCTGACAATGCATTGTTGTCTATGCATCAACCAGAAACCATACTGTGATCGTGTATTGATTGCAGCACCTGTATGTTCGAACACACTAACAATTATGCTTGTTAAACAATAAATCATCAAATCTGGTACAATCACTAATTTAGCTACGTAGCTTGAATTACCGACATAACTTTATAGATACCTGAAATAGCTTTATTTAGCTACTTAATCATACTTATTTCTTAAATAAGCATTTTTCAGGATGTGTAGAAAATCACACTTTGATGCAGTGATTGTTTTCAACTTTGATCTGATCTGAAAACAATTCGTAAAAAAAATAACTCTTAAACATGTTGAAGATGTGTTTCTTTCAGCACAATTGCAATCAAAGTTCTAAAAGTTTTGAGGCTATATACAACAATTCATTTGTGACCAACAGTTACTTCTTGAATGAAATAACACAGACCAGTTCTGGTTAAGATGATAATTGACAGGTAATAATTCAGAAAATGTGATGTACGTAATCATGAAAATAAACAGCACAACATTAAATATGTTTATTTCAGATATAAAGTATCACTTTTAAAAGTCGGGTAAAAAACACCTAAGACAGGTGTTGGTCACATACCAACCCAAATCTATATCCCACTAGCAATAGATTGGTGTTCAAAATTGATGCCTTAATATTATGACTTATATTTACATATACATTTTTTTTTGCTGTATTACAATATATATTTGCAAGGTTACAATCTTTATCCCATGAAATGTATATTTTTTTTCAAAATTCAGTCATTGTAGTATATACACTGAATCTGTTTAACGCACTTTGGTCCTTTATGATGTCGGGGACAAATTACATCAACCGCGTTTACAACTTTTCAATGAAAATGTGGTCTTCTGACGAACCTGTATTAATTTATAAAGATATAGATATGTAACTTGAGAGGAGAAAAATGTGACGGACCAGACCAGGATTTGAACCCAGGCCCCCTGAATCTCAATCCATGTGCTCTACCAACTGAGCTAGCTGGCCACCAGCGATCAAATCCGTTTGACCACCAGATATATATGCATTGCTCAATAGTGTTATATAAAGGAAAAATATTTTTAATAAATTATATTTTATAATCATTATGGTGTTCATAAATGTGTTTGATTTACAATAATGGACTTTTTAGAAGGGAGACATCACAAGTTTTGAGGTCAGAGTAGGGTTGTCACCAGAGAGTGCTTGTGCCTGAGGGTGACAACCCTACTCAGACCTGATAATTTATGATGTCTCCCTTCTAAACAGTCCATAATCATGATAATGTTTTATTATCCTGAAGAATTTGATAATGTTTTATTATCCTAAAGAATTTAAATTTAATAAAACAAGAGTATAAAATGTCAGTCAAACCTCTTGTTTCTCCTACCTACTGCTAGGATTCCATATTTTCAAGACAACTGACGTCACTGTTAGAATTTATTGATCCAGCATATTATGTATCAATTATGTAAAATATTATAAATATGAGTTATCTCGATTACGACTCTTATTTTCATCTAAAGGGAGACAACACATGCAGTGTTGTCCCCCTGCATGCTTGCTTGCTTATTTCATTGTCATCTGAAGGAGGACAACACAGTTGTCACCCTGCACATGAGGGAGACATCAGGAATTGTCTCCCCGCATGCTTTAAACCAATCAGATTGACTGTTTTATTCTGAAGGATAATAATGTTATTTAATTTTCATGTTTTATGCATAGTGTTTTAATCTTTTAACTTAAGTTAAAGTTCAAATTATAAACCTTTTGGATTCAATTGCGATACTGCAAACATTTTGTTGACCTCCTGCAGGTTGAATCACTGAAGAACCAGGGCAATGAGTGTGTCCGGAAAGGTAATTTTGCGGAAGCCATCATCCATTACACCCACGCTGTCCAGAAAGATGCAAAGAACCACGTATTGTACAGTAACAGGTCACTAGCATTCTTAAAGATGCAGCAGTTTTACTATGCACTGGAGGATGCTAAAGAAACAATCAAACTTCAGCCATACTGGGCCAAGGTAATCAAAAGAGGGGTTGTAAGAAATTTTTTGTATTATTGCAACAAAACTACAAGAGAAAAAGAAACCCTAAGGTCCCTTTCAATGCTTGAATGGTAAAAACTTAAATTTCAGAGTTTCAGTTGGAATGTATAATTGGCTTTACCTGATTTTTTTTTTTCAGGGGTACTTTAGGAAGGGAGAAGTGTTGTTTGCTGTTGGGAATCATGAGGCAGCCTTGTTGTCTTATGAGGTAAATTTATCTCCTAAAGCATACCGTATATACTCGCCTATAAGCCGGTTTTTTGGGAGTTAAACTTTGGTCCAAAAATCCCTGTCCGACTTATAGGCGAGTTATAAAAATATTGGTATTATAGCGGGTCAATCCCTTTAATGTAAGCTTAAAAAATAAAACTGACTTATAGGCGGACCGACTTATAGGCGAGTATATACGGTAATTCAGATTTCTACCCAGGGATGATGTGGATTAGTTAAATGTGTATGTATATATATAATTATATATATATGTACATTTAATTGTTCCCAACATACAACTTTTTTTTCAATTGATTTTGTAGCAAGCATTTAAAATTGAACCTAATGACAAAGGGATTACGGAGGCAATCAGTAAAACAAGGAGAGAGATGACAAAGGCAAGGAAAGGTATAGATTCTTTGTGTCTGATCTTAACACATTTTCTTTATTCTAAATTTTTTAATTCAGATGAGATTATTTCTTATACTGTAAAGCTGGAAACTTTTGTGTTGAAAGAAATTTTTGGACTTTTGTGATCAGATATACTTCAGTAGCCAAATTTTTTTTAATTTGCGAATATTCTTTATTAATAAATCTCAATAATGTGTTTGGCAGATATATTATTAATCTGTTTTCCTTATTTTTGCAAAATTAATCACAACACAGAAGGTTTTATAAACAGAACTTGCAAACTCCAAGATTAAATTTCCATATTTACAGCAAATTGAATTTATACTTTTTATCACAAATATTTTAATTGTCGTAGATATTTAATTTGTTTGATTATTTCTTTTATGTCCCTTTAAAATTCACTTGCGATTCCACTAATTGCTGGAGGAAGGCTGCAAATTTTAGACCTGTACTTGACAATTATGTGCCATTGAGCAGTGAAGGATCTTTTGAGTACCAGCATCTACTGAGACTCGATACGTTCGCTCTAACCATTATGTGTATAGGCCTACTTTTTATGAAAAAAAAAAGTGTACAGAGAAATGATGTGCAGTACATGTCAAATAATACAGACTTATCTTTTTTCTGGTTGCAGAGAATGCGAGACGTCCGTGGATCTGGGGAGGAGGGGGAGTCTTACTGGGGGTGATAGTTGTATTCTGTGACCAGTGGCTGGCAGAGAAACCTGTTCTACAGGTATAAAACATGATTATAAATATTAAAAATACACTTAGACATACAAAACGTGCTTATAAATATTAAAAATACACTTAGACATACAAAACATGCTAGGACATAGTCTGGTATGAATGTTTAAAAAATATGTTGACTTCATTGATGAACATTCTACTAGAAGAAAACAAGGAATTTAATATGTGATGAGAATAAAATCATGCTCTTTAATATGGTTATCTTTTTAATTATGACTGACACAATTTTTGACCAAAAGATGAAAATTTTAAAAAATTCAAACAAAGAGCTAGGTTCAGTTTATGCATAAAATGGCCCTGTCCTTATATCAATTAACTGACTATCACCCTCTGTCCCATTTCATATATCATAATAAAGTAGAGACCTAGTACTTTCATTTCCTATAACAAAATTTCTTTTTGAGAATCCAGGTATTGGAAAACAATCTTTGAGTAAATACAATGTTCTTGAATTTTGCAGAAAACATGCGTATTTGACTACGTTCAGCAAAGAATTAAAATATGAGCACAGCCCACGATCCAAAAATTAAAACATGTTTTGTGATCTTCTGAAAAAAAATCTCTCATTATGTAATTGCATATTTTGGATCAGAGGTTGTGCTCTATATGAAATATTGAAAAAAAAATACCTCAACTTTTGGCCATTTCTAAGGGAATTTACAGGATTTGGGGAAAATGAAGTCATAATGCATTGACTAGAGAGAAAATTATGTCAACTCATTTTCAATAGATACACAGTCACCAAGGGTCCAAGTTATAAATACTGCATTTTCAACCAAAACTGAGCAGTTTTGATTTTTCAGAAATTCACAGGGCCAAAAAAGGCCTTAAGTGGCTCTTGCTCTTTAGTACATTAATAGCACACAGGGGGCTTACTTACAACATGCAAATATTATACTATTCTATTATGTATATTTTCAAGTATTTTCTTTTTACATGTATCACTTAATGCTGTGCTCTTTCTCTTTTCTACCAAATGTATTTAAATTTTGTGTTTAAAGTGGCATATAGATCCAATGGGTCAAGGTTTTGTTTTTAACTGCTTAAAGTTTAATGCACACTTAATTATCACTCTAAATAGATAAATTACCTTCTTACATACTGACCTCCTATAGTGTAGATCAAAATTTATGACAATTCATTAATTGAAGGAAATTTTGATATGAAAATGCAGTAATTTGTCAATTTTGAGTTGGGTGTATCTACCTTACCTTTTTATCTTCTTTTATCTATTTTTTTTTACTGTACCTGATACTACAGATTTTATTAGTAGCTGTGTTATTTTATTTGACAGTACCTGATACTACAGATTTTATTAGTAGCTGTGTTATTATTTTTTGACAGTACCTGATACTACAGATTTTATTAGTAGCTGTTTTATTATTTTTTGACAGTACCTGATACTACAGTTTAATTAGTAGCTGTGTTATTATTTTTGACAGTACCTGATACTACAGATTTTATTAGTAACTGTGTTATTATTTTTTGACAGTACCTGATACTACAGATTTTATTAGTAGCCGTGTTATTATTTTTTGACAGTACCTGATACTACAGATTTTATTAGTAGCTGTGTTTTTATTTTTGACAGTACCTGATACTACAGATTTTGTTAGTAGCTGTGTTATTATTTTTTGACAGTACCTGATACTACAGATTTTGATAATAGCTGTATTATTATTTTTGACAGTACCTGATACTACAGATTTTGTTAGTTGCTATGTTATTATTTTTTGACAGTACCTGATACTACAGATTTTATTAGTAGCTGTTTTATTATTTTTGACAGTACCTGATAATACAGTTTAATTAGTAGCTGTATTATTATTTTTGACAGTACCTGATACTACAGATTTTGATAATAGCTGTATTATTATTTTTGACAGTACCTGATACTACAGATTTTATTAGTAGCTGTGTTATTATTTTTGACAGTACCTGATACTACAGTTTAATTAGTAGCTGTTTTATTATTTTTGACAGTACCTGATACTACAGATTTTATTAGTAGTTGTGTTATTATTTTTGACAGTATCTGATACTACAGATTTTTTTAGTCACTGTTTTATTATTTTTTGACAGTACCTGATACTACAGTTTAATTAGTAGCTGTATTATTATTTTTGACAGTACCTGATACTACAGGTTTTGTTAGTATCTGTGTTATTATTTTTTGACAGTACCTGATACTACAGGTTTTATTAGTAGCTGTGTGTTATTATTTTTGACAGTGCCTGATACTACAGGTTTTATTAGTAGCTGTGTGTTATTATTTTTGACAGTACCTGATACTACAGGTTTTATTAGTAGCTGTGTGTTATTATTTTTGACAGTACCTGATACTACAGGTTTTATTAGTAGCTGTGTTATTATTTTTGACAGTACCTGATACTATAGATTTTATTAGTAACTGTTTTATTATTTTTGACAGTACCTGATACTACAGATTTTGTTAGTAGTTGTGTTATTATATTTGACAGTACCTGATACTACAGATTTTGTTAGTAGCTGTTTTATTATTTTTCACAGTACCTGATACTACAGATTTTGTTAGTAGCTGTGTTATTATTTTTGACAGTACCTGATACTACAGATTTTATTAGTAGCTGTGTTTTTATTTTTTGACAGTACCTGATACTACAGATTTTATTAGTAGCTGTGTTATTATTTTTGACAGTACCTGATATAACAGTTTAATTAGTAGCTGTGTGTTATTATTTTTGACAGTACCTGATACTACAGATTTTATTAGTAGCTGTGTTATTTTATTTGACAGTACCTGATACTACAGATTTTATTAGTAGTTGTGTTATTATTTTTGACAGTACCAGATACTACAGATTTTATTAGTAGCTGTGTTATTTTATTTGACAGTACCTGATACTACAGATTTTATTAGTAGTTGTGTTATTATTTTATGACAGTACCTGATACTACAGATTTTATTAGTAGCTGTGTTATTTTATTTGACAGTACCTGATACTACAGATTTTATTAGTAGTTGTGTTATTATTTTTTGACAGTACCTGATACTACAGATTTTATTAGTAGCTGTGTTATTTTATTTGACAGTACCTGATACTACAGATTTTGTTAGTAGCTGTGTTATTATTTTATGACAAGCTGTGTTATTTTATTTGACAGTACCTGATACTACAGATTTTATTAGTAGTTGTGTTATTATTTTTGACAGTACCAGATACTACAGATTTTATTAGTAGCTGTGTTATTTTATTTGACAGTACCTGATACTACAGATTTTATTAGTAGTTGTGTTATTATTTTTTGACAGTACCTGATACTACAGATTTTATTAGTAGCTGTGATATTTTATTTGACAGTACCTGATACTACAGATTTTATTAGTAGTTGTGTTATTATTTTTTGACAGTACCTGATACTACAGATTTTATTAGTGGCTGTGTTATTATTTTTGACAGTACCTGATACTACAGATTTTATTAGTAGTTGTGTTATTTTATTTGACAGTACCTGATACTACAGTTTAATTAGTAGCTGTATTATTATTTTTGACAGTACCTGATACTACAGATTTTGTTAGTAGCTGTGTTATTATTTTATGACAAGCTGTGTTATTTTATTTGACAGTACCTGATACTACAGATTTTGTTAGTAGCTGTGTTATTATTTTTGACAGTACCTGATACTACAGATTTTGTTAGTAGCTGTGTTATTATTTTTGACAGTACCTGATACTACAGATTTTATTAGTAGTTGTGTTATTATTTTTTGACAGTACCTGATACTACAGATTTTATTAGTAGCTGTGTTATTTTATTTGACAGTACCTGATACTACAGATTTTATTAGTAGTTGTGTTATTATTTTTTGACAGTACCTGATACTACAGTTTAATTAGTAGCTGTGTTATTATTTTTGACAGTACCTGATACTACAGATTTTATTAGTAGTTGTGTTATTTTATTTGACAGTACCTAATACTACAGTTTAATTAGTAGCTGTATTATTATTTTTGACAGTACCTGATACTACAGATTTTGTTAGTAGCTGTGTTATTATTTTATGACAGTACCTGATACTACAGATTTTATTAGTAGCTGTGTTTTTATTTTTTGACAGTACCTGATACTACAGATTTTATTAGTAGCTGTGTTATTATTTTTTGACAGTACCTGATACTACAGTTTAATTAGTAACTGTTTTATTATTTTTGACAGTACCTGATACTACAGGTTTTGTTAGTAGCTGTGTTTGGTGGCCTGTCCCTCCTTGGATCCTATGCTTTCAAGTGAGTCAATGAAAGGAACTTAAATGCTATCTAATGATTTAAATCATATTTTTTTTAATTTCATAATTGAATCCTATAAACCATTCAGAACAAAGGTCTGAAGTTTTAGATATTATTTTTTGAATGCAGGTTATAAGACATTAACAGAACAAAATTTAACTTGTCTATGGGAATTAATCAGTGTTACATTGATACTCAACTATTATGTTTATTGACCATAAAGATTAGTAGTTATCCAAGTTCAATCAAGGGTGTACGGAGATTTACCCCGGGTTGTATTCCATACACCCTAAGGCCGAAGGGTGTATGGAATACAACCCAGGGTAATATTAGTTACATGGTTTTGTAGTGACAGGGTACGGGATGATACCTGGTTAGTAAATTTCATACCTGGCGAGGCGAAGCCGAGCCAGGTATGAAATTTACTAACCAGGTATCATCCCGTACCCTGTCACTACAAAACTATGTAACGAATTTACCCCACCGATGAAATATTTATGTATTGTCTGTGACTTGTAAAATTGTTTTTCTCCGCTATATGTTTCATCACTCATACAATGCCTATTATGACGTCACGTTGTTTTACGTAATGTTGTTTTGCGAGTGTTTCATAACGTACTGACAGTACTGTTTCGAAGACTTTCAGTAAAGTGAGAAAAAGGTTATATCTCGTTACTTACGTTGATTAACTTTTTACTTATCAACAGATACCCGCGAACCTCGTGCATTTGAGTTGCTCGAAGTGTTACAAAAGAACGATAACTCCGCATCAACCATGTATTGATTTTCAAGCGACTAGGTATAAGTAATACACCCGCTTCACGTGACAGACTTCAACCAATCGTAAGCCAGGATTTCATCGAAAAATCATCAGAGGTGGGGTAAATCCACGTACACCCTTTATTGGACCTGGATAACGAATTTATTTCCTATGTACCCAAATAAATTCTTTGTTAACAAGTCAATCAACTATCGATAAGATCCTACAATGCATTGTGTCGTCATGTTATTTGCTTTTTATCATAGAGAAACTATGCTTGTGACGTCATGTTTTTTACCCCCGGCTCAAGTCTGGTGTACGGAAATTTACACCCGACTTTGTAACCAATCAAAGCTTGGGTTACAATAGATTGGGAAATAAGAGTACACCTTCTCCCCCATACTGCTGTAGGGACTTTATAACTATCTATTATACACAGATTAACACATAATACTGTGAAATCACTAATTTTCATGGGGGGGGGGTAATTTTCGTTGTTTTCAAGGTATGAAGAGACCCACAAATTCATGTCCTCCACAAACTGTTAAAATTATTACCAAGACAATGCTACACGTCTTCAACCATGAAATCAAATCCCCATGAACCAATATTTTTTCCTCAAACCACAAAAAGTTGACTTCCATGAAAATTAGTGATTTTATAGTACTGGAAATCACATTTCATTTATCTTAGCATAATTTAAGTTTGCCACTTTCTCTCCTTTTTTAAAGAAAGTTTTCATTAATGGTTAAGTATCAGTTTATCATCAGGAAGTGAACTCATTCAAAATATCTACAAATTTAAGAAACAATCTGTTCTCTTCTGATGGCAGTATTTTCCATGATTTTCAGATTCATACACAACAATGACAGATCTAGTCTATTGGAGCCTCCTCTTGATTTGTTTGGTGGTAAGTAAAACATGATATATCTAGTCTATTAGAGCCTCCTCTTGATTTGTTAGGTGGTAAGTACTTTGCCTTGAAATTCCAGTGACCTTTGCTAACCATTTTTTCTGAAAGAAAAAATATTTATCATCAAAAGGTCACAGAAGGGCATTCATTTTCCATTGACTGATTTATAGGTGATCAATGTTTTTTTTTTTCTCAGATTCAGGTAAAACACAAAGTGAAGGAGGGAGTAAAAATGCAGACCCAGGTCAAACATCAGAGAAACACGCACATCGGCGGGGAGGGGCAGGGACAGGGAGACAGAGATACAGAATGGGGAAGTCATGACAATTTCATCATTATAGAGATAGGGGTGCAGAACGGGGAAGTCATCGGTACTTGGTAACCATGGAGACAGTTTTCTCTGTGTTAGCTTAGGTTTAAGAAATACTTTCCCTTCTAAGATGTAATATGATGTAAATGAATGTTCTGTATGACAATGAATGTAAAATATGTGAGTGACAATATTTATTGAATTACTCCATGTGTACGGGAGACTAGGGAAAACACTCTCTGTATGATTCATTTTATTGTTCTGAGTAGGAGAAAAATGGTACATTTGATGTACAATGATTTATATGGCCATGCTTCCCTGCAATATAACAGTCATATGTGGTAGACATAAGCAAAGGCAATATACACATCACACACATTCAGTTTTATAATCTCAAAAAAAATCTTTGTTTAAAAATCTGCTTTTTATATCTTCATTACGAATGAGAATCTGCATCTTTTTTTTTTTACCTAAATAGATTATTATACATGCTTAATTTTTCTGATGACAACCATTTGCCATTTTCTGTCAACAAAATAAATTTTCTTATGCATTCTCACAATGTGCTGGTGATCTGTCTTAGTTTATAACTTTTGATCCAGACCCTATTGAATACTGCAAGGTATCACTCGTTAGAATCATATGTGTTGGTCTCCAGATTTGACTTTGTTAAGAGATTGTTAAAGATGGAAGCTTGTTCGGATGTGGAAATATAAAATTCTTCAAGTGCTAAAGCATTATGAATTTTAACATGGTGAATATCTAGTATCTAAATTATTTCAATATCATTAGTATGACAAGTGAACTATAGATTTTTGAATACTTTTTTGTTGAATTTAATTCAGGCATTTTAGCAAATAAATCTTACTGGAACATGTCATGTTATCATTTTGTATTTTTTCGTAAGCATATACAGATATATAATGCATTATGAATTGAAAGCACCGACAATGTGTATGATGATAATAAAGAATTAATTAGATGTATTTATTACATTATACCTTGTGTTATGTAATTTGAGACATGCATCGTCAAGAGTGAATCCAATTACATGTTTTTGCAAAGTTTTCTACCCGTAGTGTTCAGTTTCATTTCTAGGGTTCATTTCTCTTGCTGTTTTTATTTGCAACTAAATTTCTTATGCCTGTTCTGGATGATTCAGTTGTATTTAATTTTAATAATGACATTTTATTTTCGCACAAAATTGAATAAAAAAGTCGAAATATGAGTTTTATTATTTTAAATATATACATGTATTTTGTTTGTCAGGAAGTGTATTGTCCAAATACACAATGGAAGAATAGAGGGAGTAGTTAGCATATTACCCCGGTAAAATTAATATTAATAAATTAACATATTCAAAAGTCAGAGGAAAAGTGTTGTTATAATCATTGATTATAATCCGAAATCAGTGGATTCATGTACATGTATAAATCAATTTAATTATACTTTTAAACAATTATTTGAATCATTTTTAGCTCACCTGAGCTGAAAGCTCAAGTGAGCTTTTCTGATCACATTTTGTCCAGCGTCCGTCTGTCTGTAAACTTTTCACATTTTCGACTTCTTCTCCAGAACCACTGGGCCAATTTCAACCAAACTTGCCACAAAGTATCCTTGGGTAAAGGGGATTCAAGTTTGTTCAAATGAAGGGCCACGCCCTCTTTCAAGGGGAGATAATTAGGAATTAGTGAAAAAATAATGGCATCATTTAAAAATCTTCTTCTCAAGAACCATAGGGCCAGGAAAGATGAAACTCATGTTGAAACATCCTCAGGTAATGTAGATTCAAGTTTGATCAAATCATGACCCCCAGGGGTAGGGTGGGGCCGCAATGGGGGATCAAAATTTTACATAGAAATATATAGGAAAAATCTTTAAATATCTTCTTCTCAAGAACAGCAAAGCCATGATGAGTCATATTTATCTGGGAGCATCATCAGGTAGTGTAGATTTGAGTTTGTTCAAACCATGACCCCCGGGGTTAGGGCGGGGCCACAATGGAGGATCAAAGTTTTACATAGAAATATATAGGAAAAATCTTTAAAAATCTTCTTCTTAAGAACAACAAAGTCATGGTGAGTCATATTTATATGGGAGCATCATCAGGTAGTGTAGATTCAAGTTTGTTCAAACCATGACCCCCGGGGGTAGGGCGGGGCCACAATGGAGGATCAAAGTTTTACATAGAAATATATAGGAAAAATCTTCTTCTGAAGAACAGCAAAGCCATGATGAGTCATATTTATATTGAAGCATCCTCAGGTAGTGTAGATTCAAGTTTGTTCAAACCATGACCCCCGGGGGTAGGGCTAGGCCACAATGGAGGATCAAAGTTGTACATAGAAATATATAGGAAAAATCTTTAAAAATCTTCTTCTCAAGAACAACAAAGTCATGATGAGTCATATTTATATAGAAGCATCCTCAGGTAGTGTAGATTCAAGTTTGTTCAAATCATGACCACCGGGGGTAGGGCGGGGCTGCAATGGACTATCAAAGTTGTACATAGAAATATATAGGAAAAATCTTTTTCTCAGGAACAGCAAAGCCCAGATTGTTTATATTTATATGGAAGCATCCACAGGTAGTGTAGATTTAAATTTATTCAAATCATGACCCCCTGGGTTAGGGTGGGGCCACAATGGAGGATCAAAGTTTTACATAGAAATGTATAGGAAAAATTTTAAAAATCTTCTTCTCAGGAACAGCAAAGCCCTGATTGATCATATTTATGTGGAAGCATCCTCAGGTAGTGTAGATTCTATTTTGTTCAAATCATGACCCCCATGGGTAGGATGGGGCCACAATGGAGGATCAAAGTCTTAAATAGAAATGTATAGGAAAATATCTTCTTCTGAAGAACTGCAAACCATGATTAGTCATTTTGATATGGAAGCATCCTCAGGTAGTGTAAATTCAATTTTTGTTCAAATGATGACCCCCAGGGGTTGGGTTGGGCCCATTGGGGGATCGAAAGTTTTACATAAGAACATATAGAAAAAATATGTCTTCTCAAGAACAGGAAAGCTATGTTTAGTCATATTGGTATGGAAGCATCCTCAGGCAGTGTAGATTCAAGTTCAAATGATGACCCCTGGGATAGGGAGGAGCCACAATGGGGGATCAAATTTTACAAAGGAATATATGGGAAATTTTTTTAAAAATCTTCTCAAGTACAACAAAGCCATTTGTTATATTGACATGGAAGCATCATCAGGTAGTTTAAAATTCAAGTCCCCCCCCCCCCCCCGGGTAATCTTTTCAATACTGAACTGATTTGTGCTTTTGCCTAGCCAGTGTGCTCAGGTGAGCGATGTGGCCCATGGGCCTCTTGTTTTTTTTTCATCAACAAGGTATATTTTTAGAATGCAGGATTCCAGTCAGAGATATTTAATTCTAGTACTCTAAAAAGGTACTCTGATAAGCCACATCTTTTTTAACTATACTAGGGGTACACTTAATAATAATTATTCCCACACATATGAAAGCCTTTATTCATACATGTTTTAATTATTTTTCTCAGGTTAAACTTATTTGAGCAAGAGATAAATCTCTCTGCTTAGAATTTTAAATTAATATACAAATAATTTGTCAATTTTCTTCTTCAAAGAATTCTCTCTTACTCCTTCCAAATAGAATATAAGTACTGGAAATTTACAACAAATATGCACAAAACGTAGATCCACCACTTGATTCAACAAATTCCATTTATATCCGTGTCGGAATATTTACACTATGATTGCAGTCTTATGAACGCTTGCTAGTGATATCAGTATACTCGGGACTGTCAAGCGTAATTTTAAACAAGATTATCTGTCAAGATTTTCCTTTTCGATGACAATGAGTCAAGTTTATTGAAAGAAACAACATAAAAAAACATCGATTTCCCCAAAAATGAGAATTTAAAAATTAGTGGATTAGATTAAGCTATTTACAGAGATGGCAGGTGTTGAACAAGTTTTGAAGCAGGCATTGAGCAAGGTAGGTTCTGAAGGATGTAGATCTATCCCCGTTTTCCCTATTTACTGATAAAAATTCAGGTGTCTGTGGACTAATGGTATAGCAGGTGGGGAACAGTGTTGGCCAGACTGGGAATGGAACCCAGCGCCTCCAACTATCCATGCTGTTGCTGGATTAAACAACTATTCAGCAACTGGGACATAGTACTCAATCCCCTTTACTCTCTTCCCAAATTTTCCTTGAGGTTTTTCCACCCTGGAAACTCGCCGAGACTCCTCTACTAGGACCATAAGTAAGTCAATAGATATAGTTTAGAAGACTTAGTTAATAATAACAACAATGACAAATTACAAACGTTGGCTAATCATAATTTTTTCCAAATTCTTTCTAAAAATAGGTCAAGATGGTGACAATTTAACATGAAACGGTAGGCTATTCCATAGATATACACCTGAATATTGAAGAGAATTTGTAAATAGAACTGTTCAATGATTTGGTAATTGAAGATTATAATTTATTTGTGAAAGCAATGAACAGGAATCAGAGGTATGAAAAATAAAAAGATCCTGGAGATATTCACGGCTCATACCATAAAAAGTTTTATACAATGAAATACACTTATGAAACATAAATAACTCAAATACATTTAAACATTCTAGTTTTTCAAACAAGGGCTTTGACGGTTGGTCAGGTGCTGCATCAAGAATAATTCTAGCAGCCTAATTGTTTCTGAAGTTTATGAATTCTTTCAATGTTAGATTTAGACGCATTACCCCAAACCTCAAGAATAGTTTATTGGAGGCAAAATTTATGCATTATAGAACATCAAACTCTGGTTCATTTAGACACACAAGTCCTTCAAGGTAATGATCCCTGAAGTGTTGGAATATATGACTTATCTATGGGCCAACCTGTCTTATGTCTTGGGCCGACCTGTTCTTGAGTTTTGGGCTGACCTGTCTTATATCTTGGGCCGACCTGTCTTATATCTTGGGCTGACCTGTCTTATATCTCGTGCCAACCTGTCTGAGACTTTTTTGTCATTGGGCCTAAATGTTTGCGGGCCGAGGTGTCGTTTTGCTGAGGTGTCTGACATTCTGTGCTCTACCTCTGAGTAGATGATCAGATGCCCTACTATTGACAGATCTATGAACCTAATCCCCACAATAATTACATTCAAGGTTTTCCTCTAACAACTTTGGACCAAGAAAAATTCATTTTTATTGTAGTTATATATAGATAGACATGATAGAATTCTCATGCAGCATAGTTTGTAATACATTGTTTATTACTGGTCTTATCCACAGTACAAGTATGCGGACATTGCAAAGAGAGATGTAACCAACGCCATAAATCAGTTTAAAGATCTCCGCCCAACACATGACTGTTTTAGTAAGTCAAAGTTCCATTCTATTTGTCAAATGATTTTACAGTATTAATGTACAGGATTGTAAAACACTTAATTAATGTATTCCTTTTTTTCTAATGGTTGGATACAGCATATATATAAAAATAAAGGAGGCAGTTTTCAGTAAATAATTAGAAACTTTTTTTCTTTGTTTGATCATGTTGATGGTAATTTTGATTATTTATTAATTAATTTGCAGCTTTCAATGATGGCACAAGAAAAGATCTGCTCAATTTGGATGGAACAATACCTGTCCAATATAAAGGTATCAGGGGTAGACAAATAGAATTTTTCAGTACTTGCCCTCGGACAGGTTACCATCGTAAAATTACTTGTCCTACCAAAAAATATGCTTGTCCCACTTTTTCTTAATTAACATAAAATTAAAGCATTATCGTTAAACATTAAATATTTCTCAACTGATACACTACATGGGGACCAAACTAGACATAAAATTACTTAATTTTTTGCACGGAAAAATTTAGGGGTATGTCTTGTTCCAGGGAGATTTCTTGTGCAGTGCGCATAATTTAAACTTTTCTCTGTATTACTTTAACATCCCAAAAATACTGAAAGATAGAAAAAATTTTTTTTGAATATTATAAAGTATTTGATTATGAAAACCACCACTGCATGTCGATTGTGACTTTCAGTGATCGCCAGTCAACAGCTCCAATTTTAATATCAGTATAACACGTTTGTACTCACGGCATGAATTTTTACATTATTTTTTACAATACCTAAAAAGGTCTAAAAATCCACTTCAACTTTTTTAATGGAATCGATAGCTGCTATGTTTTACGTCCTGTGTGTATTTTGACTACACATAAATGGGTAAATTCTAGAGGAGTTCCGACCGAGTATTCGATGTAGTAATGAACAGCAGCGAAAAACAGGTGCTCTACTGTGATTCATTACATTTCAACAGCGATAAAACAAACAACATTTGATTTTTTGTTAAATGGAGAAGCACTTGTCCGCGGGCAGGTACCACTTATCAAATAACTTGACCGCCAAACAAAATTGGTTGTCCCGGGCGTCGGGCAATGCTATTTGTCTAGCCCTGGGTATATGTTAACCCATACTTATCCTATATATACATGTTATAGGTACATGTATCTAGTACGTATTTTATGTTAACAACAATATACCTGTCCATATAAACTAAAAGGTATAATGCAGTGAAACTCTTGCCTAATCCAGATGTTGTATTCTAATAGGATGTAAACTTTAAGTCCCCTGTAGTAAATTCAGTTGTTTAAAATGTTTTGTAAATGGGATTGTTGTCTAATCTGCCTAATTTCTTTGGAACCAGTGGATTATACAAGTTTTACTGTATATAAATATTAACACTGTATTATAACTATGTATGTCAAATATAAATGTGCTATTATCATTTATTATAGATACATGTAGTGGCTTTAGGTAGTAATTTTATCATTCTGAGCCTTTCTAGGGGTGAAACGATATGCCTTCTTCACGGTTCGATACGTATCGTAAAATTTGGTCTCGGTTCGGTTATTTTCGATACGATACATTTTGATAGAAGGAAACAAGTTCAACTGTTGTTTTACATGTTTTATGCTTCCTTTTACTTGATCTAGTCAAATAATTTATGTGCAAAATGGATAGAAGAAATCAATTTAATTGATTTGACTTAAAAATTATTTTACAAACTGTAAGTCTACAAATTTACGTTTTTTAACTAATTATACTGAGAAGCATGTTTATACCTTATGCCAAACCCGACTGAATGACGATCCCGACCGCCAAACGAACCGAACCGAAAATAGAGATTTTGTACCGTGTTTCAAACCGAGAAAAAATACCGCGGTGAATCGATACCGCGGTGAACCGTTTCACTCCTAATGCAAAGAAATTAACAATGTTTTCTAGAATTAGAACTACAATGGAGACATGTCAACTCTGAACATGTGCAGTTGGCTGTAATCATGGAAGATTATCCTACAAAACAATATTTTTGAGGGCCCTTCTCAGAATAAACTTATGCCCCTCATATGTTGTTCATATTATATGATTTTGGTTTTTTTTTAGGTAGTGTATACAACATTCCGATCGGGATTTGGATTCTTGACACTCATCCGTACAATCCACCCATGGTGTTTGTGAAACCCACCAACACAATGCAGATAAAACCTGGAAGAAATGTGGACTCTAACGGGAAAGTGGATCTACCATATCTACGTGACTGGAGATATGTGAGCATTATAAGATTTTCTACTCCAGGACCATCAGACTTTCTCTAAATCTGAGAGATAAATTGAGCATTGCTTGTCCTGGTTACAATGACAGTGATAAACTTCTACCATAACAAGCACCTGTTAAAATATTTCAAGTTTATAAAATAATAATACAAAATAAGTGGATATGTATATTAAGTCAGATTATCAGAAATGAAGTTGAATCTTTCTGTGGTTGTACAAGTTAGTGTAGAGAGACCTCAGACCTATGCTTGTTTCTTTGTCTCAATAAGGATGAGATATCTGTAGAGCTTACTATGGATTTCCAGGGTTCCAGAATGATTTATATTTTGTTTTCAGCCCCAGTCAGACCTGTTGGGACTGATCCAGATTCTTGTTATTGTGTTTGGAGAAGAACCCCCTGTATTTTCCCGAGCTGCTCCTGCAGCACAGTCCAGACCCCCCTACCCTGGGGCGGGTCCACCTTATCAAGCTCAGACACCCTACCCAATGCAAGGTCAGAAAACTGGAATCAAGAATTACAATAAAAAGCAAATAGATATGAAACTATACTATCACAGGTTCTAAGAATGTCTTGATGATTTTTATTAACTGAAATGCTAAATACAAATTAAACTTTGCCAATATTTTTTATATTTGTTAAGTTTTGAAAAAGGAGTGTTTCTGTTCTGTTCTTTCATTTTTTTAGTACAGTACATAAACCAAGTGTCTACAGACTTTATTTTCCATTTCGTATTGTAGAGGAAATGGTGAAATGAAAGCCTCAGCAGAAATATAAAGAATACCAACTAACTTTTCTAATTTTTTTATCCACAGGGAGTGGCTTCCCCATGCCCATGCCTAACAGTGTGAGCCAGTCCTCGGGGTACCCCCAGTATCCAGCATCAAGTACACAGTACCCTGCCTCTGGGTTCTCTGGCTACCCAGGGGCCGGGTCCACAGGGTATCCTGGTTACCCCGCCTCCTCTGGATATCCGACCTCTTCTGGTTACCCCACACAGTACCCCAGCAGTACCAACCCTTATGGAGCCCCATCATCAAATCTACCATACCCACAATACACCAGTCCAGAGACTAACACAAGTAAGTTATACACATACAAGTACATACATATTAATTCTCAAATTATCCCCACTCCATTCATGGCCATTTTTACAGTAATGCTATATTTTTTAGAAACATTTTTCTTGCTATTCTTGCATGCTTTCAAATTCTTTTTATAACCCAAATTAGCACACCATTATCTGCTACCCTGTTTTCATAACATGACTCAATTCTAAGTGTAAATTTCCTCTAAGTACCACCACAGGTGAATGTGGACAGGGTGGGGCTAATAATCCACAGAGTGCAGAGAAACATAGTAATTTGGAAATTAAAAAAGACGAGATTTTTTTATTTACTATGACCTGTTGTTCCATTTTCTGATCAGAAAAAAATTATTATAAAGTTAATTCATGGCTTCACTCCAGAAGCTGATGTTAATTAAGTCCAGTGATGATGATAATGACTTGATAATCTCTGCTTGTGGATACAATGTGAGCTTTAACACATCTTTTGTTACTCTGTATTTAGTTGGATGATGTAATGTTGAATTGATTATTATAACTTTGAATTTGACTGGTCATTACTAACTTGACATTTGAATGGTTGACAGTGACATCAAGTGCCCGGCCGGGGACCAGCACAGTAACTGAGGAACATCTCCGCATGTCCTTGTTATCAGCTGTAGAGGACAAAATGAAAAGGAGGCTACGTGAAATGTTTGAACAAGCACAGGTATATTAACTTCTATCTGAATTCAATTATTTGATAGGACAATGAAATTTGATTTCACATACTGTATTAAAATTTGCTCTACAGAATAGAGAATACTACTGGTAATGTGTACAGGAATGAAATATGACAAGGCAACTGCAGTGTTTTTTCTCCTTTAATTAATGAAATAACAGCTGACTGTTAGTATTCCTCCTGATTGCACTGTTTAATGTTTACCAAGGATTACACTGCAAGCAGTTAATTTCTTTGATTTTGATTTCTTGACAGGCGGAGATGAATGTTCTTCATAAAACACAGACTGACCTGATAAAGGGAAAAGAGAAACTAGAGACAATGGTCAAAGATTTGGAGAATGAAAAGGTATGCAGCGAGACCATGTTAAAAGATTCTCAAGACATCAATTTAAAGTACTGGAAAATCAATAATTTTCTTGAAGTCAAATTTTGGTAGCTTGAGGAGAAAACATTGGTTATGGGGACAGTGGATCCTCATTTATCCAAACGCTTTGGTTCCCAGTCAATTTGTCCGGATATGTGAAGCATCAGGATACCTGAATTGCCTTGATTTTAGTTATATTGCCTTTCATACCATTTCAGTTTCAATAGTAAAGAATGTTGCTTTACATCAATATGTTTTATTGTTTAAATACTTTAATATAAGTTAGTACTACTCAATACTTGTTTAAATAAATAAAAAAGGTACATGTGTCATTGGAAAAACGTGTTTATATGGTCACATTAATAATTTTTTCTTCCCAGTGTCTAATAAATCAACTTCTCCTAGTAGCCATGCCAGTACCGTCGGTAGAGTCTTATTTAATATGAATGCCCATCAATGCTAAATGTGACATAATCTGCACATGTATACAAACGCTAATCGTAATCATCCAAAGCGAGATTGTATAAACGATTGTGTAATTTTGAAAGTGATTTTATAAATGTCATCAAATCATAGAATCTGTTTTCTGCACAAAATAATGTACATAGGAAAAACTCTGATGTCATGTCTATAAATACATAAAACCATTATACATGTACGACTGTATTCTAACAGTAAAAGAAATATATTTGCAGACTACGAAAAAATATCGTAGACTTATAGAATCATTTCCCTTAATTAATACGTATCAAAACCATGTTAGAGAAGCGAGAGTCTTGACGTGCGTACCTATCGACCTACAATTAACCTTGCCATTGATAACAGGTCGCAGGTGATCATCTTTTAAAACAAACAGCCAGACCAGTGTTTTTACAACAATTAACACCCAGATCAAGAAATTTGAGCAGACTTGACAGACCAGTTAAAAATTATCATCCGGATAAATGAACCAAAATATAATGTAAAAATTCATTTTGTGGTGAAAAAAGACCGTCTGGATACGGAACCTGGAATTCCGGTTAAACGAGACAAAATAACGTTAAATAATTTCGTTCCCATGAATAATCGTATGGAAACTGAAGCGTCCGGATATCTGGCGTCCGGATATCTGAAGGTCCACTGGATATGATTTCAGATAATTTCCTTGTTAAGTGGTGATGTAATAGTAGTACTTACCTAGTAATTTTTACAATTTGTGTGGGTCATACTTGCATGGGTCTCTTTTCACCGCAAAAATAACGAAAATTAAACCCCAAGGAAATTTAGTGATTTCCCAGTAGATGGACTATTTGGAAGTATTTGGATCATTTATAATGAAAGGATAAACAGGTAACTTAAATGATAAAGGTACATGTTCTATAAAGTTATTAAAAAAATCAGAAATAAAGTAGATATGATGAGTATTTTGTTACAGATATGTAGAGAATATGCCTTTTGTGAATATTATTTTCCCTATCTTTAAAAATTGATGAAAAATGAAATAAATTTGTTTAAAAATTAGATTAAATAAATAAGTGTGAAAAGTTTAGAAACCCGTATGGATGGGGCAGATTCTTATATGGTCTGATTTAAGTAGGATTGATACAGGGCTCCAAGTTTTCAGATTTCTAAGACTTTTTTTTGTCTGTAGATGGAGATAGAAAACAACATTTCACTGTTAGAAGAAAAGGATAAAGAGGTTAAAGAAGTCTTGAGAAAACTGGACAATCAGGACAAACTGGACATTGATGAGGCAGTGGTCACCACAACTCCACTGTATAGACAGTATGTAATGTTATCTCCCCTCTCACCTCAATAGTTAAGACCACATGGTTTTTAAACCCCAATGTACAGACATTTTATATTGTTATCAGTGCACTGTGCTGTAGGATTGTACAGTTATCAGCCACTTCCACATCAGTATTGAAAACCACGTGGTTTCTACCTCCCTCTGTATTTATATGTAGATTATAATATTGCCATCTCTGATGGTTACATATACAACCCTCTGCTCACTGAATTTCTTTCAATTGTCTATTTATAGGCTGTTGAATTCCTTTGTTTATAGGCTGTTAAATTCCTTTGTTTATAAGCTGTTAAATTCCTTTGTTTATAAGTGTTAAATTCCTTTGTTTATAAGCTGTTAAATTCCTTTGTTAATAAGCTGTTAAACTCCTTCGTTTATAAGCTGTTAAATCCCTTTGTTTATAGGCTGCTGAATTCTTTTGTTTATAAGCTGTTAAATTCCTTTGTTTATAAGCTGTTAAATTCCTTTGTTAATAAGCTGTTAAATTCCTTTGTTTATAATCTGTTAAATTCCTTTTTTATAAGCTGTTAAATTCTTTTGTTTATAAGCTGTTAAATTCCTTTGTTTATAAGCTGTTAAATTCCTTTGTTTATAAGTGTTAAATTCCTTTGTTTATAAGCTGTTAAATTCCTTTGTTAATAAGCTGTTAAACTCCTTCGTTTATAAGCTGTTAAATCCCTTTGTTTATAGGCTGCTGAATTCTTTTGTTTATAAGCTGTAAAATTCTTTTGTTTATAAGCTGTTAAATTCCTTTGTTTATAAGCTGTTAAATTCCTTTGTTTATAAGTGTTAAATTCCTTTGTTTATAAGCTGTTAAATTCCTTTGTTAATAAGCTGTTAAACTCCTTCATTTATAAGCTGTTAAATCCCTTTGTTTATAGGCTGCTGAATTCTTTTGTTTATAAGCTGTTAAATTCTTTCGTTTATAAGCTGTTAAATTCCTTTGTTTATAAGCTGTTAAATTCCTTTGTTTATAAGTGTTAAATTCCTTTGTTTATAAGCTGTTAAATTCCTTTGTTAATGAGCTGTTAAACTCCTTCATTTATAAGCTGTTAAATCCCTTTGTTTATAGGCTGCTGAATTCTTTTGTTTATAAGCTGTTAAACTCCTTTGTTTATAAGCTGTTAAATTCCTTTGTTTATAAGCTGTTAAATTCCTTTGTTTATAAGTGTTAAATTCCTTTGTTTATAAGCTGTTAAATTCCTTTGTTAATAAGCTGTTAAATTCCTTCGTTTATAAGCTATTAAATCCCTTTGTTTATAGGCTGCTGAATTCTTTTGTTTATAAGCTGTTAAATTCCTTTGTTTATAAGCTGTTAAATTCCTTTGTTTATAAGCTGTTAAATTCCTTAGTTTATAAGCTGTTAAATTCCTTTGTTTATAAGCTGTTAAATTTCTTCATTTATAAGCTGTTAAATTCCTTCGTTTATAAGCTGTTAAACTCCTTCGTTTATAAGCTGTTTAATTCCTTTGTTTATAGGCTGCTGATTTCTTTTGTGTATAGGTTGTTGAATGCCTTTGTTTATAGGTTGTTGAATGCCTTTGTTTATAGGTTGTTGAATGCCTTTGTTTATAGGCTATTGAATTTCTTTGTTTACAGGCTGCTGAATTCCTTCGCTGAGGAGCAGGCGATAGAGGATGCTATTTATTATCTGGGAGAGGCCCTGCGTAAAGACGTCATCGATCTCGATGTATTTCTCAAAGTCAGTACAAATAGCAAATATTTATTAAATGTCATCGCGTACTTGTGTTAAATCCAATCATATTACAAAATTTATTGTATATGTTGAATAAGAAAAAAAAAGTATCAATTTCTTTTTTATCAAATTTATGAATTAAAAATGACGATTTTTTTTTTAAACCTGCAGCAAGTACGAGAGTTATCAAGGAGGCAGTTTTTCTTACGAGCGATAATACAGAAATGTCGAGAGAAGGCGGGACTTCCTCCAATGGCGTGAACAATTTTATATTTATGGACTGATCGTGTGACATTACTGTGGAAAATTCTTCTCATGTGATACTTATGACAACATGGCAATTGCATACCAGCTTCACCAAATGTGTGGGACTGTTTTAGAAAATTTTATTATATAGATAATGCACTATCAACATCCCCTGCAAAAAATAAAGGGAACTCAATACTGATTTGAAATGGGCTTTGATGTCAGTTAGATTTTATTTAAATTAATTTCTGTAGATTCTTTTTTCCAATGTTATCATAAGGGGATACACCATGTATCTCTCATACAAATACTGATGTATAAAGAAAGAGTCTTTTATACAAGTTAGAAAAAATTATGTTATGCAGACTAACGCAGAAAGATAGGGACATCCAACAAAAGGAATTCTTACAATTAAATGTCTTCATGGACAATGGTTCACAGTTGAAATCTCTGTATGGAACAGAAACACCATAAGCTAAAAAAACAATGTATATATGTGAATGTCAGTAAACAGATATTCCCATGGATTTGTAAATCAGTCTTCAAAGTTATGTGCTCACTATAAATTCATCTACATTTCATGTACATGTGTACATCTACCCAAATCAAGGACTATTCATATAAAATGTTGGCTTTTTTGGACGTTGGGAAGTGAATTTGATGACGATAGCGACTGTTTAGGCAATAGAATAGTTTTGTACTCTTGTAAATGAGGAAGTAATTTGATTTTTGGAAATGAGGATCATAACAAATTATTGACAAAGAAAATTTGTTTTATTGACTGATATTTAGTACTGAACACACAGTCATGTAATACCAGACAGATTATATCTGTATATAATGGAAATTAAATGTGTCATATTGAAATATTTGTTTTGAATATTCTTCTACCCAATTCTGTGTTGCTCTTCTTTCAGTGGAGTCTTGCAAACTATCTGACATGTAATGTTGACCAAGTCCTATTCAGTATTTACCTGCTTGTTAAGGGTTTTCTGTGGGGAGTATTGTGATTTATATTTGTATAGTAGGTGGATTATATTTCTTTAAGAAATGTCAATTCTATCAATTTTAGATGTACCAAATTATTATCATAATTAAAAGTGGAAGTAAAAGGATACAAGGTTTTTTTTCTTGCGTGTAATATTTTTTTTCTTTCTTTTACGACACAAGAATATCATTCAGGTAAATTTGATATCTTAGTTTTCAGTGGTTTTAATTGGGAAAATGCTACACATGCAGTCATATACAATTGTCTGTAAATTTTTCACATTTTTGTCTTCTTCTGCAGAACCACTGGGGCAATTTTAACCAAACTTGTCACAACGCATTTTTGAGTGTAGAGCATGCAGATTTGTTATTTGTTTTGCCATGTCCTCTTTTAAGAGAGAAAATAAAGAAGTAGTTAAGATTTTGTAGCATCATTCAAAAATCTCAAGATTAAGTGAATACTGTATTATACTATGGTAGATTCAAATTAAGTTTGTTCTTTTTAGGCCGCTTGCATGTTTATGGGGTAGTGGATCAAATTTTTTCATTGGAATATGTAGAGAAAAATCTTTGAAAATCTTTTTCTCAAGAACAGCACTGTCAGCAGGGCCATGATTAGTGATATAAACAGGTAGTAATAAGTGCAGATTCAAGTTTGTTCATATCATGGCTTTTGGGGTTAGGATGGAGCAACAATAAGGATTCAGAATTTTACATGTGAATATTAATATATTATGCAGTAAAACACGCGTATAGCGAACACGTTCAGAATGACGCTTACAGCGAACTAATTTCCATTCTCCGTGGCTTTAAAATATATTGATAACGTAACAGATATAACGAACTACGTTTATAATGAAGCAAAATGGTCCGTCCCTGGCACTTCGTTATAAGCGTGTTTTACTGTATATAATATGGAATTTATGTCCCATGCTTAAGTTGGTAGAATATCTAACCAGAAGTCTCTGATGAGACTGTAGCTCTACTGGTCTGTTTGTACAACAAAAGAAAAGTAGCACTTGGATTTGAAACATTGCAACATGCAACAATAAATAGAATTATGTATCTTAATGTAGTCTACTTCTGTGCCAAGTTATATTGAAATCAAATGAAAACTGTAGGAGGAGTAGCATTTTGAAAGTATTTCACAGAAATTTCTATATTTAGTAACCATGACAACACCATTCACCCAAATAAAAAAAAACAGAAATACATATTATGTATCGTAGTGTATTCTAACTGTGTGCCAAATTAGATTGAAATCAGACCAAAATTGTAGGAGGAGTAACGTTTAATGGGAATTTCACAAAAATTTCTATTTTAAGTAACCATGGCAACACTGTTCATCGAATTCAAAAACCAATGCAATAAATTTTGTATCTTAGTTTAGTCTTCTTGTATGCCTAATTATATTAGAAGCAGACTAAAACTGTAGCAGGAGTAGTGTTTTAAAGGAATTTCACAGAAATTTCTATTTTTAGTAACCATGGCAACACCATCCATTGAATTCAAAAACCGATGCAATAAATTATGTATCTTAGTGTAGTCTACTTGTGTGCCAAGTTATATTGAAATCGGACCAAAACTGTAGGAGGAGTAGCGTTTTAAAGGAATTTCACAGAAATTTCTATTTTTAGTAACCATGGCAACACCGTCCATCGAAATCAAAAACTGATGCACTAAGTTATGTATCTTAGTGTAGTCTACTTGTGTGCCAAGTTCTATAGAAATCGGACCAAAACTGTAGGAGAAGTAGCGTTTTAAAGGAATTTCACAGAAATTTCTATTTTTAGTAACCATGGCAACACCGTCCATCGAAATCAAAAATCGATGCACTAAATTATGTATCTTAGTGTAATCTACTTGTGTGCCAAGTTATATTGAAATCGGATCAAAACTGTAGGAGGAGTAGCGTTTTAAAGGAATTTCACAGAAATTTCTATTTTTAGTAACCATGGCAACACCGTCCATCGAAATCAAAAACCGATGCACTAACTTATGTATCTTAGTGTAGTCTACTTGTGTGCCAAGTTATATTGAAATCGGACCAAAACTGTAGGAGAAGTAGCGTTTTAAAGGAATTTCACAGAAATTTCTATTTTTAGTAACCATGGCAACACCGTCCGTCGAAATCAAAAACCGATGCACTAACTTATGTATCTTAGTGTAGTCTACTTGTGTGCCAAGTTATATTGAAATCGGACAAAAACTGTAGGAGGAGTAGCGTTTTGAAAAATTGTTTACAGACAGACGGACAGACAGCTAGACAGACGGACGGACGAACGACGGACACCTTACTATCGCATTAGCTCTTCTGGTCTCTGACCAGTAGAGCTAAAAATGAAGAAGTAGAAAAAGAACGATTGACCTCTACCTTTTATCTTCTTGCCTAAAAATCAATAGGGGTTTTTCCTCAGTTAGAGAAATTCATCCCCTTAATTTTCATTGCAAAAGTTTAAGAAGAATTATCTTTATCGTCCTAAAAATAGTTTATGCAATACATAAATTTCTGACCTGGGCCTTTTGATTGCAATCTAATTAAAATTAGAGGTTCCGTATCCGCTACCGCTTCTTCTCAAACATCGAACAACATCCCATTCTGGGTCACGTCAGAGCGACCTTTCGATTAGCCAATGAAATAGCCTCCGAAATCTTGGCTTATAGTTGGATGCGTTTCTTTTTTCACTGGTAAACTTAATTAAACGCCCGAGGAGTTTCGTAGTAAACAAAATATGGCAAGGAGCTTGCTATGTATGAATGTGACGTGGGGGATATTTTGCATAGTTTGTGCATTTTCGTTTGTGTTATTCAGGTAAGAATGCCAGATTGGCGGACTATTCATTCAATTTATACCAAAATTACTTTAATTCAACGTTAGACGGACTACTGAGCATCAATAATGTTAACAGTTAAGATGTAGCTGTTGAACTAATTTTAGAATCGTATTCAGAAGCTTGAATCTGATTGGTCAAAATTTTCATGTTTATTCATAATCGAAAGGTCGCTCTGACGTGACCCCGAATGGGATGTTATTAGATGTTTGAGAAGCGGTAGCGGATTCGAAACATCTAATTTTAATTAGATTGTTTTGATCGCAAAATCAATAAGGGTCTTCTTTAGGAAGTTGTGATATAAATAAATAGAATTAAAGTTACATGTATCACCATTTTATGCATTATACAAAATTATGATCATTGACATTTTGATCACAGGCGCTTGACGTTTTTAACCTTTCTTTTCATAAATAAAAAATCCCCCATACTATAATAATAGTATGGGGGATTTTTTATTTATGAAAAGAAAGGTTAAAACCGTCAAGCGCCTGTGATTTTGACCTCAAAATCAAGAGTGGTCTTCTTTAAGTTACAGAAAGTTATAGTATAAAGTTTCACTGAAAGAACAAAGATTTTATTGAGGTATCATCCGGAAACTTAAGTGTTGCACATAGACAAAATGATAGATTAATATTCCACGCTTTTAGTGGAAGCATGGGACAGAAAATCTTCTTAACAGTGGGTCCATAAAAAGTGATAATAACCAAGCATTATAAGGTTGTGTAAATCAAGAGGATAGAATCAGACCCCTAAAAGTTTAAGCTAAAATTCTTGAATACTAATCATGCTAATAGACCTACGATCACCGTTGCAAACATTGTGAATTGCATGCGTTGTGGTGCCTTGCAATGTGTTGACCTAACAGGTGGTCACAATGACCTTCCTTTTCAATACTCTGGTAGCCTATAAAGTTTTGAAATATTTAAACACATGTGTTTTTAACACTATGAAATGTAGAGTTACCAAACCTAAAGAGCTGATGCGATTTAGGACCCATTTTATTAACTTTTAATTATTACCTTTTATTTTAAATTCAAGCCTAAATAATTCCAATCTTAATTTTTAGCTCTAATGGTCAGAGACCAGAAGAGCTTATGCGATATTAAGGTGTCCGTCGTCCGTCCGTCTGTAAACAATTTTTCAAAACGCTACTCCTCCTACAGTTTTGGTCTGATTTCAATATAACTTGGCACACAAGTAGACTACACTAAGATATCATCATATTAATCCTAAAATATACCAGAAATAAGCGATATTGTTAAAAAGATGTTAAAATATGGAAACGTAAACAGATGAACAACTGAACGATAACTAAACTGAGCCCAAGGTTTAACAAGGGGTATTTCCTCCTTCATGTGTGCTACAGTAACTGTAAAGTTACATGAATTAGCGATCTCAAAATATAGAGTAATATTCCTCTATTTATCTGACTAGAGCATTCATAGATTAGCGCACTTGAGATTGAAAAAGAGAATTTAAGTTTTAATCATATTAGTTTGTATGAACATGAATAAGCGGACAATAAGCAACACTGAAGACACTATAAATATCACTACTGAGATAGGTATGTTTACACTAAGTATTATTAAGGCTTAGGTTTAATATGTTTGTACCATAGTTAGCTGTTTTTTCTTTTGTTAAAAGTGTAGGTTATCTGTACATAACCCGAACTTTTCTATAAACCACACCCACGAACTCAGGAGAAAAAAAAAACGAAAAAACGAGCTGAAAATTTTTAATCAAATGATCATCTGTACTAACTGTACCAAATTAGAAGAAAAACTTCCTTCTTCATTATGTCGACACACATTACATTAATGTAATTGTAATTACAAATGGTTTGTTCCCATTTCGCCTTAACTGTGAAATTTGGTATTCCCATTTCGCCTTAGTACGCTCTGAGGTGAATTAAGGCGAAATGGGAACTTGTATAAACACCTCATTAAGTCTAAATATTGTTTGTGTAGCAGTATTATTATGAATTTTGAATTAAGGTATTAGTAATTTTGTGAAATTCTTGTGGAGGTAGAGTTGACATAAAAATTA